CTGGGAATTGAACCAGGGACCTTTCGGTGCATGCGATGAAGCTCAACTAACTGAGCCACACCAGGCAAGTCTGGGTGTTTTTTTATTTCTATTAATGGCTCCACCTTCCTCACAACCTCAAAGGGTCAGCCTTGACCTCTCTTGAGTTCTACAGCTACGGGATAAACAAGATACAGTAGTCTCCATCACCCTTATATTCTGGGAAAAATTCCAAGACCCTCAGTGGATGCCTGAAACGGCAGATAGTACCAAACCTTTATATGTGACAAAAAATTCTGAGAAGTGCTAAATTAATTTGCAGACCTGAGGGTGGTAGGAGGAGACAGAGGTTAAACAGTTAACAGTGAAGGACAAGATCAACAAAAGACTACTTGCATTCCTGAATGTATGCTAAAACTTTGAATTAACTTTCAAGTGGCTATTTCCCTGGATTATCTGAAGAGAATAGCTGAGTATGATACCAGGTAAATCCATTTGTTTACACTTGAATGTCCCCCACAGTTGCCCACAACCAATCCAAAGAAGCAAATGCTTCCCAAGACTCTGAACTAGCCCCACTTCACCTTCTGTTACCCCCTTTACAGCCAATGTAAATTCTTTCAAAACAGTTTACATCTTTCTTTGCCAAACTGTTTACTTAGAAGACCCTTTAAACCCAAGATTTCGAATATGCTGTCTTCATCCAGCTCTGCTGCTGGTGGTTTAGAATTCATGCTCCAGGGCCTGGTCCTTCTGGCTAACATTTGGCTCAGTAAACCCTTTCTTTTAGAGAGGATTTCAGCCATGAAAGTTTTTGTTTACACAGCCTACACTTTTCCCTCCTATACATACCTTTTCACTTAAAGGAAACACTTAAACGGCTTCTCTTTGGTATATATGAATTGCCTGCATAAGTAAAATAAAGGTTACTTGAACACAGCCACTTCGCCAGTAACTGAGAGGGCTACTAAGTGACTGTCAAGTAAGAAGCTTGTACCATGTGGATACCATGAACAAAGGGATGATTCATGTCCTGAGCAAAACAGAGCAATTTCCGAAAAGGCATGAAATTTAAAACGCTTGTATTTGCTTCTGGGATTTTTCATTTAATATTTTCAGGCCCAGTCCCGCCTCGCTGGCCACCTTCTAATTAATTTCCTTTCAGTGTACACAAATCCATGCACCAGATCCACTAGTTGAATATAAAGGAAATCCACGAGCCTGTAATAATACTCAGCAAAAAGAAAAACAGGCAATGGCCAGTATTTCCCGGTGATTAGATTGTCAGCCTGCACCAAAGTTTTGTAGGTTCAATTCCCAGTTAAGGGCACATATCGATGTTTCTTTCTTTTTTTCTTTTTTTAAAATATATTTTATTGATTTTTTTACAGAGAAGGATAGAGTTAGAAACATCGATGAGAGAGAATCATCGATCAGCTGCCTCCTAAACACCCCCTACTGGTCTAGGCCGTTCTGTTCTGTGGTGCAGGATCCTCTGTCCTGGAAACTGGAGTCAGGAGTTGGAGTCGGACCACCTGGGCAAGCCCTTTGCATTGGACCCGGAGCCCTTGGTGTCATGCATGACCCAGGTTCTGGACTCGGCTGATCTGTGTGTCTACAAGGGAGCTTCATTTTCCTGGTTTTCAACATTTGCTTTCCATACTACTGTACATTCTGTTTTGTTGTTTTTTTAAAATATATATTTTATTAATTTTTTACAGAGAGGAAGAGAGAGGGATAGAGAGTTAGAAACATCCATGAGAGAGAATCATCGATCAGCTGCCTCTTGCATATGCCCCAGTGGGGATGTGCCCGCAACCAAGGTACGTGCCCTTGACCGGAATTGAACCTGGGACCTTTCAGTCCGAAGACCCACGCTCTGCCGCTGAACCAAACAGGTTTTGGCGAGCCTGGGACCTTTCAGTCTGCAGGCCGACACTCTGTCCATTGAGCCAAACCGGTTTCGGCTGTTGTTTTGTTTTTTGTACCAAAAATAAAACCATTTGCTTGTTTAATAAGTACTTGTCATCACTGATGAGAGCTGGAGGAGAGGGAACATGGAGGGATTAGGGCAGTGAGGCAGGAATGACCTGCCGCCTGGACTTCATGGTGGGAGGCTGGTCGTGAACATTCCACATCCCTTGTGTGGAGCGCAAACTAAGGTCTGGGTTTTACAGTCAGACCCTCAAAATGGACAGGATCTGACCTCAGACACCCCCGCCAGAGACCCTGCCTTCCCAGGGGCAGAGGAGAGCATGGGACCTCCCCCCCCCCACAATCGTGTTTCCACTGTCTCCTTATCCCTCCTCTGTGAGGGTGCTGTCGCCTCCTACTGTCTCCCTGCTTCCTCTTCCCCCTCAGTCTGCACCTGTCACAGAAGCCAGAGGGTCTGCCCCCACTGCATCAGCCCAGCTGGCCCTCACCTACAGCCTTGGCGCCAACCCCTGCACTCAGGGGATGCCAGGTTCTCACCCGCCCTCGATCCCTGCAGGATGCGTCCTCCCCCCCCACCCCCATAAGCCTCCACCCCTTTCTACTCGGCCTCTTGCTCATCCTGCTGCCCCTCCATGGGCTGTCCCCACTGCCCGATGCTCTCCTCCATCCGTCCTTTCCCTCAGCGAGCTCCCTTTGCCCCTCCCTCGAGTAGCCCCTGTGTGGCTTCATTCCAATGTTTTCATGGTGCCCATGTCCTCTAACAGCTGCACCTCATGTCTGTCCAGGGCTGTTTCCTCCCCGCACCCCGTCCTCTCCTGGCTGGACGCCCACTCCGTAGGACAGGGTGCTGGCTCCCTGCTGCTCTGCGAGCACCCGGGTACCGCCTGGGACACAGCGGGTGCTCAGTGGGTGATACAGGCTGAGTAAGGCAGGCACTAGGAGTAAAGGCCATTAGAAGTGTGGACAAAAGGGGCCACATGCTGACCTGACAAGCTCAGGGAAGGCTTGCTTGGCAGTCTTGCAAACTCAAGAGACCTAAAGTAACCACAAAGGATGGTCTGAAATTACACTTTAACTAAAACCAGTTGTGATGGGTATCTTCACTGACAAGGTCAACCTTTATCCTAACCGAGCCTATCTGTCTTTTTGCATCTATGACAACATACCCTTGAAATGTCTGGGTATCTTGTAACTTGCTTTTTCTGGAGCCCTTGGGGCACAGCCTAAAGTGCCTGGGCTCCAGGACAAATACCACAAATTCCTTCATTGTTATGTTAATTGTTCCTGCACCCACCTAAGTATGTGTCTACCATTTTACTTTTTATCCAATCCCAGGGGTTCCATCCCTTTGCTTTCTCCCGCCCCTTTGCTTTCTCCTGCCTCTCTAACCTATCCAATGGATTTCATGTAACCCTCTTACATCCCTTCCTTTGATTGCAATGTATAAATGTAGATGTGAGGCACCATTCTCCAAAGCCTTATCTCAATTAATTGAGATTCTTCTTTCCAGCAATTGTTGACAGTTTGGCTCAAATAAACTCACAAAATTCTTTACAGGTTTCAATGTGTGTGTTTTTTTAAAGTTAACATTACAGACTCATTCAGAGCCCAGGGCCAGTGCTCAGGGCAGGGCCATTGGAGCTAGTAGGTGTTCGTTTTCTCACAAGAAGGTGGGACAAAGAGAATGAAAAAGGAGTAGTGTGTGTTTTCCCTCAACTATTTAAAAGCTGATGATCTCATTCCATTCTTAAAACTATGACTAGATGCCAAAACCAGTTTGGCTCAGTGGTAGAGCGTGGGTCTGCGGACTGAAAGGTCCCGGGTTCGATTCTGGTCAAGGGCATGTACATTGGTTGCGGGCACATCCCCGGTGGGGGGTGTGCAAGAGGCAGCTGGTCGATGTTTCTCTCTCATCGACATTTCTAGCTCTCTATCTCTCTCCCTTCCTCTCTGTAAAAAATTAATAAAAATATATTTAAAACAAAACAAAACAAAACAAAAAAAAACCTATGACTAGAAACCCTTAGATCAACCCTGTGAGGCGGGTTCTGGGATTATCTGAGATTCTGGTGGAGAGTACCGACCTTCACTCACCAGCGTTCAGTGCTGTAATTCATGCACTGGTGGGGGGCGTGGCCTGTGGGAATTGGCCTCCTGCAGAGCAGCTGCTCATCCTGTTAAGCCCTGTGGTGCTCCCACTGTGGGAGTGCAATGACCATCAGGGGACAGCTCCTGCGTTGAGTGTCTGCCCCCCTGGTGGTCAGTGCACGTCATAGCGACTGGTGGACCAGTCATTCTGGTAGTTCCGCTGTTAGGTCACTGGGCTTTTATTTTATAGGATACTTATTTTATGTACCACATACAATTCCGGCATCTGTGACATGCATTTGACAACTTGATAGTACATGTTAAGTTAAAATTTTAAGAAAAAGTAAACTAGGGATGATAAAACAGGGCAGCAGAACTTGGTTCTAGTCTCATCCCAGAAACCTGGAGCTCCTGAGAGAAGTGAATCACTTTAGGGAATACTGAAACGAAATTCTTTAACAGGTAGAATGTAGAACTCTTTTCAACCATGACTTTAGTTTTCCTTCAGAATCTAGAAGGAACTCATGGACAGAAAATAGATTTGTGATTGTCAGGGCCTCCAGGAAGGGGCAAGTGTGGAGCAACTGCTTAATAAGTATGGGGGTCTGTTTGAAGTAATGAAAAGTTTGGAGGTAGAGAGCAGTGATAATTGCAAAATATTGTGTATGTACTTAGTATCGCTGAACTGTATACTTTAAACTGGCCAAAATGATAAATTTTATGTTATGTATATTTTGCCATAATAAATAAAATTAAAAAAAGAACTCATGAATGCCTCCTAAGCAGCTGTGGAAAACTATAGGTTGCATTCAGTATATTCAGAAACAGTCATAGAATTCCAACTACACGAGAACCTCAAAGGGAGTCGACAAATCATTCCATCCCAGTCATTCTCAGCGAGTAAGACAATGGGCAGAGCCTCGTCCACAGGGGCTTCACAAGCACTCCCAGCCCAACCCCACAACCTTCAAGAATGAAGCACTCAGATACCAACGAGACATATTTCAAATAGTTTAATTTTAAAAATATTCTATTCAGTGCTAAAATATGTCTTCACTCACTGTTAGCCATTTCCATTTCTTAAACTTTTATGGAACAAAAAATAAAATCACGAAGTTCAATTAAACATGCAGATTTTAAAGAAAGGGGATCTTTCTAGAAAGTCTGAGCTGAAGGAGTACTTTGGGGGATGGGTACTGTGGTCAGACTTCAAATTCTTGCTGGGGCAGTTTGTGGCATGAATGCTGGGGGCTGTGGCAGGAGGCAGAGAATGCTGGAATGAAATGTACGGGTGAGAACAGAAAGCTGCATGTGTGGGGTGAGGGGAGCTAGTTTTCTCGTGGTGGTGGTGGGGGGAACTGTCAGCAGCTAGAGAGCCCATTAGAGGCAGCATAACCTCAGGAATGGGCAGAAGTGCCAGGGCAGCAAGAAATCTATATGGACTTTTTGCCCTCATGTGGAGAAAAGCATCTTCCCTCCAAAGTCTCTACCTAGGCATTCAATAATGGCCTCCAGGGCACCTAGCCCTGTGAGAAAGGCCAGACATCTACAGTCGCCACTCAAATTCAAGTAACTCTTGGCACTCTCTTCTCCAAAGGGTGCCTTCCACATCTCTCTCCTCTTATAGAAGCGCCAGCAGCTCAGTCCAGAGGTTCTGGAGCAGAGATTGCTACCTGGAGGTGACACATAAACCTTGGGATGGCAGATGCTCCAGCCTACTTGGGAAACAAAGAGGACATGAGCATTCCTCTTCGCAGGAACAAGCAGACACAGGTGCCAGGGAGGGAAGATGATGCTATAACCCCAAGTCTATGTCAGCCTTCCAGAACAGAAGGCTCCTATGGGCAGGCTTTGGACCCCAGTGCTTGCCCTTAGCCCAGCAACACAGCACAGCCAGAACCAGAATGCAATAAATAGAGGCAGGGGCCAGGAGGTGAAGGGTGTCAGGATGCTGCTAGCTTTCTGAGGCTGTCTGCGGCACTGCGGGTTGGTCCACACAGACGCGTTTCAGGGGTGGGGCACCTGAGTCTTCCTCTTCCGTGGCAATCTAGGAGCAGCCAGAACATGGAATTATAGGGCCATCCCTCTGAACCAGAACCTCCCCATCCCTAATTACAACTCAGAAGCCCAATGCCCATCTTCTCGTACATAACCAAACATTTCCCTACCTTATAACCTGGAGACACTAGTTTTCCTTGCTGCTTCTCCACTCTACTACACTATAGCACATCCGACACAATATATGCAATTCACGGCAATGAAATCCTTCCTTTTTTCTTAGAAACTGGGAAACCCAAAGTGTTTCCTTACCTGTGTCTCCAGTGGAACTGGTTCTTCCTTTGTGAGGGTGGGAGGTTCATCAGCCACTTCTGAGGCAGGCAGGGAGGGCTCTGCAAAAGCAATATGGTCAGCATAACTGCAAGGCCTCCTGACGGGGAGACTCCTGTAGAATCTGCCTTCAAGATGGGGAAGCTTTCCTAAGGCTATCTAGAGATGGCTTGGTGAAGAGGCAGCACAGGCTGAAGAGTCAACATACAGTTGTAGCTGGTTTGGCTCAGTTGGTAGAGCATTGGAAGAGTCCCGGGTTTGATTCCAGTCAAGGACACATGCCCAGGTTGTGGGCTTGATCCTCAGTGGGGAGTGTGCAGGAGGCAACCGATCAATGATTCTCACTCATCATTGATGTTTCTCTCTCTCTCCCTCATCCTTCCTCTCTGAAATCAATAAAAATATATATTTTTAAAAAGAATCAACATACATATATTTTAGAAACAATATATAAGAAGAAATTCATAGGAGATAATGCAGAGAATAAACTCTGAAGTTAGAAGGAATATAATTGGAGATACCCACTTCTACCAGTTACTATGTGATCTTTAATAGCAATTAAAATGTTCTAAGACTCTAACTTCCTCATCTGTAAAATGGAGAGAACAGCCCTGACCAGTTTGGCTCAGTGGATAGAGTGTGGGCCTGTGGACTGAATGGTCCCAGGTTCGATTCCAGTCAAGGGCATGTACCTTGGTTGTGGGCACATCTTCAGTAGGGAGTATGCAGGAGGCAGCTGATTGATGTTTCTCTCTCTCATTGATGTTTTTAACTTCTATCCCTCTCCCTTCCTCTCTGTAAAAAAATCAATTTTATATATATATATATATATATATATATATATATATATATATATATATTAAACAGAGATAATAGCTTCTATTTCAAGGATTTGGGAGAGAATTATACCAGGCGTTAAATATTGAAAGAGCCTCACACAGATCCTGGCACTCACTTGTGGTGTTTGTTTTCTTCTTTCATTCTGTAAGGGGAAAATACAACCATTCTCCAAAGTAGCCCAAACTGTTAACAAATAGCTTGAGACTGCCAGACTCTGGCATTTTCTCTATCCCATTATTCTAAAGAAGAGAGGCAAGAGGCAAGGCCCCTCCAAGATGCATGTCCTGGCTCAACCGAGACTTACCCTCAAGGATCTCCTGGCCCAGAGTAGGGGGTTGGGAGTCATCTGTGCGGAAGTCAGAGGTGTGTGCTGGGCTCAGGGACTCGCTCTGCTGGGGGCTGGGGCTTGAGTTGGTGCTGCTGTCCACCTTCAGTTGATAGACATCAGACACAGAACTCTGGTTGCTGTTTTCATCTGAAAACCAAACATGACAAAGGCAACGGCTGAGGGTGGTAATTATTCCTCAAGGGTAACTTTGTATAGAGCCAAAGACCTGGTGTCTTCTTAGGCAGCCACAGACACACCAGGTACAATGATCTCTGCTGCAGATGCACTCTGAACCCAAGGCACAGGTCCATGGGCTTCTATGCACTGAACCTGTCTTTGTTGATTAATTTAAGCATTTCCTATTTCACGACATATTCTAAGCACCAGGTGCAGCTAGAATTTTCAAATTTATGCAACATGTACATTTCAGGAAGATCAGGATACAGTTAATTATTATCCACCAGTTATAGCTTAGACCCTGCATTTTCTTATTGTCCAGTGGAAGAGATAGACAGTATGCCTCTCAACCTTTCTCACAACACAAGGTGTGTAGAAAATGATAAAAATCTGTTCGGAGGAATTCAGCTCAGACCCTTCAGGGATCTAGGTTCTACCTGAGGCCTCAAGGATCAATGGAGTCCCACCTAGGAAGCTGTCTGAAGGCTTAAAAATCACCACCTAAGTTAGAAATAGTTAAAAACACAGGCGTTGTGTTCACTGCTTCCTCTCCTGGTGGCTTAGTTCAGGCCTAGCCTCCAAAAGCCACCACTGCCCTTCCTTCAGTACCATGTACTCCCACTTACTTCACACCTCTGCCAGCAGGATATTTCTAAGCCCTTCGATGGTTGCCTGCTGCCAAAACAATAAAATTCAAACCCCACTGCTTCTCTGGACAGGCAGAAGATGGCCCTATCATAACATTCAGAGTCCTTTCTGATCTGCAGACTCACTCCCTGTTGTTAGTCCACACCAAGCTGGACCCTAAGTGAAGAGCTGCTTCATGCACAGTTGTCTGCTACCACTTGTTCCTTCTAGCCTTTCAGGCCAACACTGAGCTCAAGCATAATGTCCTCCACATATCCCTGTATCCCGGGCTCTGTTGGGTAAAAATGACCACCTTCTCTTCTATGCCCCTGTAGTGTCCTGTGCACACCTGAGTTTACTATTTTACACACCAGTTTCCTTCCTGCTCTGTGCAGATAGGCGCTGTGGCTTACCGGTCCTTGCGTTTCTTGTGCATAGTGCCTGGCATACAGTAGGAGTTCATTAAATGTTCACTGAATGAAAAGAATTAAATGGACTGAGAAACCGGGGCCTCACATGTGTCTCTAAGAGTTCTATCGTTATTGAAAACCCCACACATAACTAGAAAACCTTCCTCTTGTATTCCTTCCTATATCACACTGACCCTGGGGCAGGGACAGAGGGTTGGGGGAAAGTTGGCAGGCATGCTCCCAGACTAATTTTAAAGAGAAAATTGTAAGCCCTTTCTAGTCTTTACTTCTGCGAAGATCACTACCTTCTATGCTAAAATGGAAGTTGCATTTTATTATAAAAAGAGAATAGAGCTCTAAAAAAAAAAAAAAAGAAAGATAGAAAAAGTAAGAATAAAGCTTTGTCACTTTTGAACTTAGGCAAACACTTTTTTTCTTGAAGCATCAATTTTCTTAACTAGGGATGATGGTTATTTATTGCCTGGTTTATATCACAGGCTGATGTTAGGATAAAAATGAGAAACTGAAGTGAAAGTGCTTCACAAACAGTAACTGCCACGTAGGTGTAAGAGGGAACATCATGAATGTGGTCCTGACACAGGCAGGACATTGACTTAAAAGCAGAACTTGTGCCAACAGGGGACAGGCAGATGCCCTAGCTTTGGGTAACCCACTCTCAGGCACTATCATAAAGTACGCAGTCTAAAGAAAAGAGCTTCTGATCCAGAAAACCAGGAATCAATGTGAGGTTTATCACTTACTAGTTATATTACTTTATATATGTAACTTTACCTCTCTGAGCCTGTTTCCTTAAATGGAAAATAAGGATACTATCATCTATCTTGCAGGGTGCCTGTGAAGTATAAAAGTGAAGATTTATGTATAGTGCCTAGCAAGATACCAGCAAAACAGTAGGCACTGAAATTATACATAGAACTATTCTTATTATGAATGGGTTCATCTAAATTTTCATTTTCCTGCAAGAAGACATATGGATGCAACTCACCCTGGAATTCAAGAAGGAGAGAGGAATTGGCTGAGGCATCAGAGGGAAAGCCATTAGGTTCCCGGGCTGCTGAACCATTCGACTTTGACTTTTCTTTCTAGAAAAGGAAAAAGAGAGGGATGTGACAGAGCCAACGAGGAGACTCGCAGAGATAGAGAAGAGTGCTTTTTGAGACACCACAGAGGCCTGGATTAGGACTGAACAGGAATAATGACAGTGGTTTTGAGAATCCAGGGCCCAAGGCATAATGGAATTCTGGACAAGGTGTCCGCAAGTCTCAGTGTCTGTATCTGTAAAATGGACCTTCCAGCGCTAATATCATGAATCAAATGTAAAAGACAGACACATATACTTCCACTAGATTTCCCTGTGGTACTCCTCTGCTTTCTGCCCTGATCAGAATGTTCGATCCAACCCTTCCTCATGAGGATGGGTGAGAAGCACAAAATATTAATTTTGAAAAAGATTCCTATTTTAGTAGCACAGCAGGAAAAAAAATAAGTGAAAGAAGAATGGAACCTTGACTGGAAAAAGGAAGGAGTCATTTTTATGTAATGTAAGAATTTATGGGACAAAGGGGCCCCTGCTAGCTCTATTCCTTACCAAAAACCCCTATCCATTCAAAATGTTTACCTTACTTCAATCTTTGTTTATACATCATCCCCCTACACATGTTGGGGAACCACAGTGGGAAGATAAACTAGCCTGCAACGAACAGGCCCACGGGAAAGGAAATTTGCAAATGCCAGCATCCCAACAGCCCAAAGTTTAAATCTGGTAATTTCAAATTCACTAATTCATACTGCTCATACATGTCTCTTTATTGTATATGCATTGTACTACTAATATAATTTTTGTTCATAACTCTCAATCCTATCTCTGCAATAAATCAACTAGAATTTATGTATGTCCTTCCCTTCATTTTTCCTATACAGACATAATTTTAGTGTAATTACACTTGACCATTTTACTACATAAGCTACATAAACATGATTTTTAATAGCTGCATAATATTCCATATACCATAATTCACTTAACTTCTCAACAATTAGACATTTAGCTTTAACTTATTTAGGATTGTGTTTATTTGTTGTTACTAGAAATAAAACCACAATGCTAAACTTTTATTTTTTTCCTCGATTATTTTATTCAGATAAAACTCACACAAAAATATTCCTTCTGGATTAGAAAATATAAACATACTATTTTCCTTGAAATACACTGTACCCCACTACTCTCTGAAAGGATGGTGGCAATATACTTGGGGTATTAGTTTCACAGCATCCAGGCCAACATTTGGCTTTATTATTATTTTTTTCTGATCTCTATTTTATCTTCATTTTAATGATTCTGTGGTCATGTAAAATATATATTCACTATAGGGAATTCTGGAAGTACAGTAAAAGAAACAAACCAGAGACAACCTACACATATTTGTGTGAAAATGGGTCATATAACTTACTTCCCCTTCCTCATTCACTGCATTAAACATTTCTCTATGCAACTGGGTAATCTTCTACATCTTTTTAAATTCTTATTTATTCTTTTTTTTTAAATTGATTTCAGAGAGAAAGAGAGAAGGAGAAAGATATAGAAACATCAATGATGAGAGAGAATTATTGATCAGCTGCCTCCTGCACACCCTATACTGGGGCATGTGCCCTGACCGGGAATTGAACTGTAACCGCCTGGTTCATAGGTCAAGGCTCAACCACTGAGCCACGCCAGCCCGGCTACATCTTTCTTATAATGGTTACAAAGATCTTCAAAATACAGGTGCACAATAACTTATTTAATGAATTCTATACAGTAAGTTCTCTTTTTTTATATGTATATGTTTTCATTGATTTTTAGAGAGGAAGGGAAAGGGAGAGAGAGATAGAAACATTGGTAAGAGAGCAACATCATGGATCGGCTGCCTCCTGCACGCCCCACACTGGGGATCACGCCTGCAGCCCGGGCATGTGCCCTGACCAGGAACCAAACCAGTGACTTTTTGGTTCATGGTCCACACTCAACCACTCAACCACATCGGCTGGGCTATATTAAGATCTTTATTTTGCTTGCAATTTGAAACACTATAAACAATAAAATAATGCTGAACATTTGGCTTTATCATTAGGTATATTTAAGCATATGTTGTATACATATGATTATCTCCTGAGGATAAATTCCTAGAGATAAAGCTTGTAGATTTAAGGAATAATTATTTAAAACTTTTTACCCCGCCGAAACCAGTTTGGCTCAGTGGATAGAGTGTCGGTCTGTGGACTGAGAGGTTCTGGGTTTGGTTCCGGTTCCGATCAAGGGCATGTACCTTGGTTGCAGGCATGTCCCCATTGGGGGGGGTGCAGGAGGCAGCTGGTCGATGTTTCTCTCTCATTGATGTTTCTAGCTCTCTATCTCTCTCCCTTCCTCTCTGTAAAAAAATCAAAAAAATATAAAAAAAACAAAAAAAACAAAAAAACTTTTTATCCCTTCAGTTTTACTGAGTTAGTTATAAATGACAAATAAAACTGTAAGATATTTAAAGTGTACATAATGGTGATTTGATATACATGTTCTCCCCTCACCAAAAAAAAAAAAAATATATATATATATATATATATATATATATATATATATATATATATATACACATACACACACACACACACACACATATATACATACATTTTGAATAATTATAAAGGCAGTGTTTAGTAAATTTTATGTTCAAAACTGAGTGATCAGCTGTTAAAATGTGTACATATTTTTTTGGGACACACTATATACATTTGTGAAAGGATTCCAACAGTCTAGTTAACTAATACATCCATCACTGAAAGCTCTTATGATCAACATGACCTGTAAAGTTTGTGCCAATTAACTCTCCCATCAGCAGTGAGTGTCCCACTCCCTTGTATCCTTTGTAATTTTTTCTTTACCAATTTGATCATCATTTTCCATTTTTCCTAATCTAACAAGGTCTATGCTAGTACCTTAGACGATGGCACACTACCATGAATCATTAGCAGGCAGATAAACTGATGGACCTCTGGGCCCAGCTCAGAAAGCAACACAAACACTGCAAGAAGCCCTCAAGAGAGACAAAGGGAGCTGAGTCCCACAGAGAATTTTAATAGGAAAAGGACCAGGGACTTAAATGGGAAAAATGAGTTGGGGGTCGGGATGGAGGGGTTGATTCTAGCAATAATGGCCTCATAGGTGCCAGGGATGTATGAAGAATAAAGAGTGGCTCCGTAGCCCTCCTAACATTTACCAACTCCTTGGGGTTGGCAATGACAAGGGAGAATGGCTGCTCCTATATTAAGGTAGCACATGGAAGAATGGTACTAGGGAGTTCCTGGGGAGGCAGGGAAAGATATCAGAGGGAAAAAACTGAACCCTGAGGCTAACTCCATCCCTTAAAGTCATTTAGAGGAGGGAAACCCGAGTGTAGGCTTATATACTCCCTCAGTTACGTATTATTTTAGCCAAGGCAAGGTAGAGTCCCAAGGGAATAAAAGGTAAGTGTACAGAAAAAACTAACCAGATATTGGAGGATAACAAGCACCATGAAAGACAATAAACAGAACAAACTATACAGAATGGTAATGGCACAGAAGAATTTAAATAAAATACATAGCGAGTCTGCTCACAAAGATAAGGATGATACTGGAAAGTTGTTTTGAAGAAGAATCAAAACAGAAAATTGGTATAATTGTTCAAAATAAAAGTAAATAAGATTAGCAGCAGAAATAGATATAGTTGAAGAAAGGACTAATAAGCAAAAACTGGGTTGAGAAATTAGAATAGGGAAATGAGGAAAGAATAGTGAGATGAAATAAATGAGAGAAAAGCTCAGAAATAAAGAAGCTAGATGTGAACATTACAGGATATTCTTTAAAAAGTTCTAGAAGATCAGAGAGAGAAGAAATTCTAAAAGTTCCCAGAAATACAAGAGGATAACCTACAAAGAATCAAGAATCAGACTGGCATTAGATTTCTCAACAGAAGCACAACTGAGTAATAATTTTAAAATGCTGAAAGAAAATAACTTGGAACCTAGAATTTCATATAGAGGTCAACTAAACATGGAAGTAAAACAAAGATATTTTCAGGAATAAAAAGAGGTTTTCTTTTTATTCCTAAAAATATCAATTAAACATGAAATGATCAACAAAACATAAAAGTAAAACAAAGATATTTCTAGGAATAAAAAGATATTTTCAGAAAGTTAGTTCTACAAAGCCCTCTTGGAAAAAATTTTGAAGGATGGATTACAGCAAGAGAAATGAGTCTAGGAGAAAACAATAATAAACAGGTGGCAAAGAGTTAGTAAATAATTAGTAATGTTAACTTTGGCTAATTAAGCAATGACTAAAACAAGAAATATCTGCAAAAACTGAAATATATTAGCTGAATATCCTATATAATAAAACCCTAATATGCAAATGGACCAAACAGAACAACTGGTCACTATAACATGCACTGACCACCAGGAGGCAGACGCTCAATGCAGGAATTGCTCCTGCTTGGAGCATCTGCCCCTCTTCTCTCCCTCTCCTGCCCCCCCCAGAGGGAGGTGACCGGCAGCAGCAGTGATTGGGGGAGGGGGGGAGAGGAGGAGGCCTGGCCAGTGGGCAGCACCAGGCTGCCAGCCAAGGTGGGTGCCAGCATGGGCTGCCTGATCGTCCTGCCCACCAGTCACCCCACAGATGAGCCCTGATTGCTGGCCTGGCCTAGGGACCCTACCCTATATATTGGGAACAGTCTCTTAGATTAAAAATTAAAACCTGGCAAGGCTACTCTAACACTGAAAAAACAGGATGATGCAGCGATGACATGCATGGACTCTGGTTTGCACATTTTGTGGTCAGCCCTGATTCTGACACTTATAACTGTGTGACAAAGCCAATTACTTAACTTTTCTCTGCTTCAAATGGTACTACTGCCTCAGAAGGATCATGTTTTGTATTCCTTTTTATAATAGGGGCAAAAAAAATACAGCTGCCCATACAACAGCAGGATGCCTTTCACCTGTATGAAAAGCATGGTCACTGGTGCATGTAAAATCCCGGATTGCGACAAGGATGTCTGACAGGGGGATCAGGCCTAAACTGGCAGTTGGACATCCCCCAAGGGCACAGGCCAGGCTGAGGGACACCCTGCCACACCCCGTGCAAGAATTTCATGCACTGTGCCTCTAGTACAATCTAAAATTCCAGTCAAAACTAAGAACAAGGGCCCAGCCAGTATGCCTCAGTAGTTGAGCATCAGCCCATGAATCACGAGGTCACAGTTGATTCCTGGTCAGGGCACATACCCAGCTCTCAGGCTCCATTCGATCCCCTGATAGGGGGCAGGCAGGAAGCAGCTGATTGATGTTTGTATCTCTTTCTCTCCCTCTCCCTTTCTCTCTCTAAAATCAATAAAAATATATTTAGGAAAAAAGAATTAAAAAATATTTCCTTAGAAAAGATATTTATATATTAAAAACAATAACAACTAAGGACAAGGTAAGGATGGAAGGGGGAAGGGTGGAGATCACAGATGGGGGAAATGTTGTGGGTATTACCAGGTTCAGAGAGAAAATAGAGATTTTGATACATTTTACAGGGAAATATAATAAGTCTTAAGTTAAGAGGTAGCCAATAGAAAAAAGAACTTCAAGTCACCAGAAGAAAATTTATCTAGTCACCAGTAGGTAAAGAGAGGGGTGGGGGGAAGGGTAAGTATATTATGGTAGAAATCTTTGTCCATATTAATAATAGAATTTTTTGTTGTTGCTGTTAATCCCCATCTGAGGATATTTTTTCCATTGCTTTTTTTTTTTTTTTTTTTTTTTAAGAGAAAAGTGGAATGGAGAAAGGAATGGGGAGGGGAGAGAGGGAGAGAAAGAGAGAGATGGACATAGACTAGTTGCCTTCTGCACACATCCTGACCAGGGTTGGGAACTAAACATGCAACCCAGGTACGTGCCCTTGACTATACCTGGGGTGGGGGGTGAGGGAGGAGGACGACCATGTTCCAACCATTGAGCACACCAGCCAGGGTATATTAATAGAATTTTTAGGTGGTCATATTTTCTCAGTCTTCCCAGCCACTAGATATACCACAAGCTATTATGAACACTTATAGTATATCTTGAGGCAACTTCTAGGAAACTACTTAAACTCCTGAATATATCATTTGCCCTCTTCCCACTCCTCCTGCGAGTGAATGGCTAAAGCTTAACCTTGAAATAGGTTAAAAATGGAGAAGAGAAATGGAACTGTTTAATGGGTATGAAGTTTTTTACAAGATAAAAAGTTCTGGAGATTGGTTATAAAACAAGATAAATATATGTAACACTACTGTATTGAACTAAACACGAAAAATGGTAGGATGATAAATTTTATGGTATGTGTATTTTACCACAATTAATTAAAAAGAGTAAAATGAATAGAGTCACTACTCTCTAAAATTATTATTAATCCTCACCAGAGAATGTTTCCCTTGCTTTTCTTAAAGAGTGAGAAAGACAGAGATAGAGATAGAGATAGAGATAGAGATAGAGATAGAGATAGAGATAGAGATAGAGAGAGAGAGAGAGAGAGAGAGAAATCTGAAACCTAGGTATGTGTCCTGAGTGGGAATCAAACCCCCAACCTTTTGGTGCACTGAACCAACACCCCACCCAACTAAGCCACCCAGCCAGGGCTCTAAAATACTTTTTAAAAAATATTTTTTATTGATTTCAGAGAGGAAGGGAGAGGGAGAGAGAGATAGAAACATCGATGAGAGAGAAAACAATGAGAGAGAAACATCGATCAGCTGCCTCTTGCACACCCCCTACTGGGGATGTGCCCGCAACCAAGGTACATGCCCTTGATCGGAATCGAACCTGGGACCTTTCAGTCTGCAGGCCGACGCTCTATCCACTGACCCAAACCAGTTTCGGCTGGTCACAAATTCTAATCACTGGTTAGATGTGAGAGACACATAGTTTGGTTGCCTCCCACAGGCAGTATCAAATCTGCAACCCTTAGGTGCGTTGACCAACGTTCTAACTGGCTAACCGGTTGTTCCACCTTTTGATCACTGGATATATATAAATTATATATATATATATATATATATATATATATATATATATATATATATATGTATGTATATATATACATATATATATAAAATTTATTTTATTACCCAGGAAATGTGTACATGAATGTGAACACTTTATAAAAGAATACAGTGCAAGGGTCAAAGGTAATAACTGTATTTACAATTATAGAAACATGGAGAGTTCTCAAAAATAAGACTGAACAAAGGAGAATGGAGGTTTATAGCACAATGCTACATTTAGATGTAAACATTTAAAAACACCACCATGAAACAATGCTATGTATTTTTCAAGAATACACAGGTATCCAGCCGAAACCGGTTTGGCTCAGCGGTAGAGCGTCGGTCTGCGGACTGAGAGGTCCCGGGTTCGATTCCGGTCAAGGGCATGTACATTGGTTGCGGGCACATCCCCGGTAGGGGGTGTGCAGGAGGCAGCTGGTCGATGTTTCTCTCTCGTCGACATTTCTGGCTCTCTATCTCTCTCCCTTCCTCTCTGTAAAAAAATCAATAAAATATATTAAAAAAGAGGAATTAAAAAGGCATATACATATAAAACACATAAAAATACACTGCAGTGAATAGCTAATTGGATAAAACAAGCAAGCTTTTTCTTAAAGGACCAGAAAATAAATATTTTAGACTTTGCAGACCATTCATTAGGTCTAATGGCAACTATTCACTCTACCATTATAACCCAAAAGCAGAAGGAAACCAATTGGCATAGCTGAATTCCAATAAAGCTACACTGACACTCACAGTAGGCCTGGGCTATAGTTCACCAAGCCCTGGAAAAGAGAAATAGGTTAAAGAAAGGGAATAAAAAGGGAAAAAGTAAAGGAAAGCTTTGTGTGGGCCAATGACAGAGGATGTCTTTACATATTTTCAACTCAATTCTGGGGAAATAAACTCCTTTATCATTAAGAGGCAATCAAAGAAAGAAAACAGTACCTTTTTTTGTTGGGATTGTCTTCCACACTTACCTCCTTGCTGTCTGTCACAGGAACCCACTTAAATATCCTAAGGGATGTGTCACCCACAGTAACCCATTTTTTCTCCCTAAAAGAAAGACACTTCTTAGGACTGATAAAACAATAAAACAGATTTTCTGTTCATAACTTGGGCTTTCCTACTTCTCAACAAATAATTCCTCCAATCTTAAATGCTTTCTAAACTTCCTTCTGGCCAAATTACCTTACTTTTGGTGCAAAATCATCCCTTTCAAAAAACTTATGTCAAATTCCTTTGGCTCTGAACTCTCTACTTGTCATTTTTTCCTCATTTACAGAATATTGAAGCCTTTCCCCCCCTCATATACTACACCAATATAGAGTACCAGCACATTTCCAAACTCAGTTGTCTCTCTAGCATACTTTTCTTTTCAAAACATAATTCAATTTCACAGATACTTATAAGGCTCCCCAGGCTATAACGGATGTATACTAGTAAAATATGGTTCCTACCTGGAGCTCATCGGAAGGAAAAAGACAGGAAAAAGAATGAAGACGGCAAGGGTGAGAAGGCTGAAAGCCAGAGTAAGACTAGGATCGCCCATGGATGGGAGAACTCCTGACTCCTGTGGGACTCAGGGTGAAAACACACACTCCACTTAAAAATGATCACAGGCCAGGATGATTCCAGCCCACAGAACAAAGCCTTACACTGGTTTCTGGAAGAGGTGAAGGCCAAGCCATGGAAGAACTGTTCTAAGGTTTTATTTTCGAGGAAGTAACTTTTGAGGTAAGCCTTAAACAAAAGAGAAGCTTAATCTTTTCCCAGGCACATACCTACGGAAAGGCAAGTGACATTCCTGAATAAGGCAGAAACTTGTGGACGAGTGGGGTGGGGGGAGGAGTGTGGGTGCCTGAAATGACTTCTGAAAGTTTCAAGTCCACATCTGATAACATAAAAAAAGCAACAACTGCCGGGACCGGTTTGGCTCAGTGGATAGAGTCGGCCTGCAGACTGAAAGGTCCCGGGTTCGATTCCGGTCAAGGGCATGTACCTTGGTTGCGGGCGCATCCCCAGTAGGGGGTGTGCAAGAGGCAGCTGATCGATGACTCTCTCATCGATGTTTCTAACTCTCTATCCCTCTCTCTTCCTCTCTGTGAAAAATCAATAAAATATATTTTTTTTAAAAAAGCAACAACTGTTGTTCTTTTGCTATGGAGGATGTTATTCAGCAAATGACATAACAGGAAAATAAAAAAGAGACTGTGATATAACAGAAAGAATGAATTGAAGATTTAGAGTTTATTTAAAGTTAATTCCTGGACAAGATACTCCATTTCCTCATTTATTTAACAAATATTTAATATACAAGACCTTGTACTGGGCCCTAGGCACACAAGGAACAATATGCATAGTCCCTACCCTCACAGAGCATGCACTCCAGTTAGAAACAGACATCAAACAACTCATTTCATTGTCAATCACTTAATCATTAGGTTAACCATATCAAATTGCCACTTTTGTCAGAAATGTCTTATGGTTTAACCTAATACAATTGTGGAAAGTTTTATGAAGAGGATCTGATCTAGATTGGGGTCTTGAAAGGTGTCCTTGAGGAACCAATTTTTGAGCTGATCCAGGAGTTAACTAGGCAAGAGGTATGTAAGTTTGAGGAAGGATGGGCAGCTGGAATAGTAGTGTGGCTCTAATTGAAAGATGGCCAGCATCCTGGGAAAGAGGGCAGTTTGAGCCTGGCAGGTCAGGCAGGCAGGACCAGGTTTGGTCTTACAAGCAAGAAGAGGTCACCAAAGCATTATTTTCTTAGCAGGGAAGTACTCTGATATTTGCACTTGAGAAAAATATTATCATGCCGACTGAAATGTGAGCAATGGACCAAGGAATCAGCAGAGCTGAAATAGGGAGATTATGGGAGGCTGGGGGAGAGAGGATGTCAGCTGGCTTAGGCTACTAGGTGGGGCAGAGAATGCCGGAAGAGAAAGGTGTGCCAACTCTTAGATTTCACACCAAAAAAAAAAAAACCAGAATTACATATTGAGAAGAAAAATCATGATTGATTAACCAATGTTTATAATGGGTCCCAACTATACTCGAAGCCTTTGGATATAGAGGAATAAAGAACTTGATCTTGTGGGGAAATGAGCAAACATGCAAAGTCGAAGTTAAGAAACCTCTAAAAGGGATGGAGAGTGAAAGACAGGAGGGCTTTGGGAAGGCTTCCTGGAGGGAGTTAACACCTACTGGTGCTTTAAAGTTATTAATAATCTTCAACTAGCGAAAAGCACTCCAGAAGTTGGCATAACTCAGAGAAAGATAAGTATCACATGATACTCATATGTGGAATCTAATGAACCAAGTAAACTGATGGGTGGAATAACTATGTCCCTGAGATATAGAAGCATGAACAGACTGTTGAACCTCAAAGTGAAGGCAGCGGAGGGTGAGTGGGAAGAGATCAACCAATGAACTTATATGCATATATGTATATATGCATAACCCGTGGACACAATGAGGTGGTAAGGGCCTGGGGCGGAGGGGGGCTGGAGAAGGGACGGGAGCGGGATGGAAGAGGTTAATGGGGGGGGTGTGTGTAAGGAGAACCTATGTAATACTTTAAAAAAAAAAATATATATATATATATATTATATATTTTTATATAATATATACTTTATAATATATACTTTAAAAATATATTTTTAAAGTTGGCATAATGAGTTGCTTGTGAAATTTTAATGTGATAGCACATCGGCATTCCTGATACAAAATAGGCAGTCAACCAGCGTCTGCAAAGAACATTACAGGAGTCGTTTCTCAACGAGGAGCAGGTCTCGACTCCTTTACCCAGAGCTCCCAGGGCACCAAGAGGAAATGCCTACACAATTCACAAGAGTGCGTCGGGCATTTAGGGGGGAGAGTTTTGATTTTCACACCAAGTTTGTTCCTGTGGCAGGTAGGTACCACGAACCTCTCACCAATCTTAGAGTGCTCAGTCTGGCGGAGGGGACGCTCAGATTGCTGGTAAATATATGGGACAGGTCACAGAGCAAAAGACTACAGAGGCGGACGTACGCGGAGTCAAAAGCCCACCAGGATTGGTGCGAGGAGCAAGATCTTCCAGACCAGAGCGACCGGAAGCCGGCATCTCCTCTGGCGACGCACCGCCTACTGACAGGTGGGCGTGGCCACGAGCCGGTCAAGCCGCTAATTGGCCAGGGCTGGCGCGCCCTCTGAACTCACGCCGACGCGAGCCGCACTCTCCTCCCGCCTTCTCCGACTTCCCCCTTCCCCCCACTTAAGCGCCAGTGGACTCGCACCCCGCCTGCCGGTCTGGTGTTCCTCTGGGCCTGGACCGGCGAACCCCGCCAGCACCCTCGGCCCCGGCTTCGGCCCCTCACCATTTCCGCACTTTCTCGATGGCAGCCATCACCTTCTTGATGTCGTCCTTGGCCCGGCTGCGGGTCTCGGCCCTGACTGACCTGCCCGACATGGCGGCGGCGGGAGCGGCGAGAACCGGGGCACTGCTCCCAAGACGCGGGGAATCGCGCGCTTCACACGCCGCCACCCGCCCGCCGCAGCAGCAGCAGCAGCGTCACCGCGGCCGTCGCCCCCTCCGTGCGCGCGTGCGCGAGGAAGAGCGCGCACTCGCCCGCCCCTTGGGACTCCAGGTCTCAGCGCGCCTGCGCGCCCTGCTCCCGGCTTCCAGGACCCCTGGGTGCCCTGGGAGACCCCTTGGCCCGGAGGGAAGTGCGGGGTGAGCGGGCAGCATGTGCGGTGGGCAGGGCGAGGTGCGAGGCACTGCTGGTGGAATCTGGGACTTTCCCAGAAGATTTGGAGGTCGGCGTCTCGTTTTGAGCCAGAGTTGCTGCCATTACCTGTTTTATGGACTTGACCTTTAGGGGACTGCTGTTCTGCATCATCCTTTCCTGCTGCCCCTCCTGTCTTAGCTCCCCAGATAAGCCGCTGTACTCCAGTCTCCGAATTTCACATCTTTCTTCACTATGCCTTACAACCTTGTACACACGTTCTGCACCTGGTGATCTGACCTCTTTGGCACTCTTCCAACATCTCTTTGAACTCAAAGAAGCTTTTACCTGCCATCCTGGGGTTCCACTTGTTCATACTTAGCACTGTACTCATTGTCTTTAATTCAAAATCTGGGTTTTTCTTTCAGTTTAATGGTACTCACAGATCAGAAAACAGGCATTAAAAATGCGTTTTATAAATACTAGGCTAAGGGAAGTACAAGGTACCATGACAATCCTAATCTAATTGAGAGGTTTACAGAAGCTTCTGGGGGGGAAATGACCTTGAAGCTGACTTCTGCAAATAGGGTAGATGCAATTGCTCAAGCAAACTGTCCACATTGTAGATGCTCAATAAATGTTTGGATGAATGCTGAATATACAGTGCAGGTCCGACGAGATAGGCATTTATTGATGCTTACAGTATGCAAGGAGAGTCCTGTAGCAGTTTCAGGAGACAAAGGAAGCAGGTGACAGTTTGCATAGGTTGGTAGCATTTACTTCTCTCACCTCTAAAAAAACTTCCTCCTATATGCCCCAGAGAAATGCCTAGCTAACGCTGAACTTGACACAGCCTCTGACTATGACTGTTGAGCCTTTCATGACTGACCAACACATCATGGTTTGATAAGCAAATGTCTTGCTGGTGAGAAGCCTAGGAATAGTGTCTGCCTGACTACGGAGTGGAATTGGTGAACCATGTGCAGGGAAGGAATGATTCTAGAATACTGAGATAGCCCAGCAGGTGTGATTCAGTGGCTGAGCATCGACCTATGAACCAGGAAGTCATGGTTCGATTCCTTAGGTCAAGGTACATGCCCAGTGGTGGGCTTGATCCCCAGTAGGGGTGATGCAGGAGAAAGCCGATCAATGATTCTAATCATAAATGTTTCTCCCTTCCTCTCTGAAATCAATATTTTTTATTTAATTTTTAAATTTTTAAAAATATATTTTATTGACTTTTTACAGAGAGGAGGAGAGAGGAATAGAGAGCTAGAAACGTCGATGAGAGAGAAACATCGACCAGCTGCCTCTTGCACACCCCTTCCAGGGATGTGCCTGCAACCAATGTACATGCCCTTGACCAGAATCGAACCTGGGACCTTTCAGTCCGCAGACTGACGCTGTACCACTGTGCCAAACCGGTTTTAGCTGAAATCAATATTTTTTAAAATTAGCTACACCCAGAGCCATTGTCTCCCATGTAGTGATTCTAGAGACTGGATCAATGACAAACATCTAGGATCAGTGACAAACATCAAAAGTCCATTGTGAGCCCAGCATGGCTCAGTGGTTGAACTAACTATGAACCAGGTCATGGTTCCATTCCTGGTCAGGGCCCAAGTGTTGAGTCCTAGAATGTATCAGTTTAATCTGGAACTGCCTCTCAAAACCCTCCTGCAGTTCTCCATGTTCTTGTATGGAGTGAGCAAGTCTTTAGGAAGTCAGCTGTGACAGAAAGGTGTCATTAAGGAAGAAAAAAATTAAGTAAAGGAGAGGGTGAGGGCTTAAAACAAGATATTCAATAGGAAATTTGATTTTTTACAAAAACAAACAAAAAACCCTACTTAATTAGCATAATTTACAAACCAGTAGGTTTAAGCACAAGAAAGCTGAGTTCACTTGCTGTAGTGACAGCATCTACAATGAAAGCAGGAGGGAAAGCTCTTTGGGTTTATCAGAGAGAAAGCTGGTATGCTCAGCTCTCCATGGCTTCCTTCTTAACCCTATATTGGTCCTGGGATGAGATGGAGGAATGATGAAGGTCTGAACTGTTTCCATACTGCTACCCAGGCTGCAGCTGGTTTGTGGGATATTTGGAAGAACTTAAAGGTGAGAATGGAGACCAGTAATCAGGGCCATAAATGCCAATTATAAAAACAAAAGACTACTTCCACATGTCCAGAATTTTTAGAACTCTGAGATATACCTGTCTGAACTCCCAATAAAATACTGTATTTCTGATGTTTTAATGAGAGCTTAGTGAACTTGAAACTGCAGTGGGGGGTAGGGGGACAAAGTGTGGTTAACACAGAGGTTAACAGTGTTAGATGTGGTCAAGAAGCCTCATTCTAGGACTTGTTTTGGCTCTCCTACTGCCATGAGGCACAGACCTTGGAGGACCAAGGAAATGTACTACCCAGAGCTTGTGTTGCCACTTTACCCACCAGACCACAGTCCAGGTACCTAAGACCTTGGAATCCCTGCCCACACAGACCCAAATCTGCTTTCAGGGCCGGTATGAGCCTCTCCCCTGGCTCCATTCCTATAAAGGCAGTGCTGCTCAAGTAGTGGGTGAAGGGGTGATGGTTCTCAGGGATCTGATAGCACTTGGAGGTGTGCACTGGGGTATCCCCTGCAATGTGGAAAAGAACCAGGTAGGAAGAAAAGAGAAACCAGCCTTGACCATGGGATGGCTGCCTTGGTACCACAATGTGATAGACTGAGTCTGAGAATTCTAAACTCAAACTTGGCCTTCCAGGATGTCGCGAGCCACATGCAGCTCTTTGGACACTTAAGTGTGGCTCTTCCACAAAATACCACGGCCTGGGTGAGTCTATTTTGAAGAAGTGGCATTGGAAGAAGTTTAAATTTAAAAAATTTAGCTTTCAAAAGAAATTTCAATCGTTGTACTGTTGATATTTGGCTCTGTTGATTAGAGTTTGCAGACAACTGGGATAGAGCATACTTGAGCTCAGTTTATTATAACCTTTAAATATTAAGATGTGGCTTATGGGCATCCATTTCTATTCTTGCCTCTGGTTATGGGCCTGGTTGTTAAAGTACCTATCTTAGTACCAGACAGGCCTAAATGTAAATATCTGGGCATGCCATTCATAAGTTGTGTCTTGGACAATTTACATTAGTAAGGTTTTTTATTTAAATGTATTTTTTATTGATTTCAGAGAGGTAGAGGAGAGATAGAAATATCAATGATGAGAATCATTGATTGGCTGCTTCCTGCACGCCCCCAACTGGGGATCATGTGCCCTTGATCCTAATTGAACTTGGGACCCTTCAGTCCGCAGGCCGATGCTCTATCTACCCAGCCAAATCAGCTAGGGCCGTTAAGGCTTTTTTAGCTGCAAGTCAGGGTGTCTGACTCAAGTTGACTTAATCATAAACCGGAATTTAATCATAAACAGGAATTATAACTGACAAGAGAAGCTCAGGTGTGTCTCGACCTGCCAGTCTAAATAGCATCCTCAGTGTATGGTCTATCTTTGGCCCTACTTTCCTGTTGGCTTCATTCTCAGGCAGGACTACACATAATAAGCTTATAACTTACTAAGTGATCTCAGCAGAACTTTTCTCAAATTCTGGAGAAGTCCAGGGAACTGCTGATTGCTTATATGCCCACTATAAAGTATCTGGGTCTACCTCCCTAAAAATCGTATGGGTCAAGTCAGGGAAGTGGTAGTTCACCAAATAAAAATGTGGTTACTGGGAGAAGAGCTGAGGCAAAAACAGTAGCAAGTTGGTAGGGAATAAATGCTTAGCACTGTTATCCAATACTAATGAAAAGGAAAATGGGGGTTGGGGGGGCGCTTGCAGTCTAGTTCAGTATCTGGTTAAAACTGTAATCGTACTTCCCCACTCTGACTGACTTGGGAGGCACTGCAGAGCCCAACCCCAGGGCCCCTCCACAGCTGACTTGGGCAGAGCTGTGGGGACCCTCAGGGGCCCACCACAGGAGGTATATAAGTCAGAGCCTCCCCACAAGTTGAGTTCAGGCTTTGGATCTGGAATTCTCCTGGACTAGCAGATCTGCGAAATAAAGGTTAAACTTTCCTCCCTCAGAGTGCTGGCTGATAGTTCTCCCGTGCATTCTGCCAAAAACACAAACATGATCAAGAAAATGCAAATGGGCTCAAATTGGGTTTGTATAATGAATAGAAGGCAAGTAGAAACCACACTCATTTTCCAACTGCCCTGAGCTCTGAAAGTTGATAGCCTAAAATGAAGACTTGGAAAGGTAGTCACAATCTCAGAGGACATTCACAATTTTGTGTATATGAACTAAGCTTTCAGTTGCTGTGGCTGTTTTTGCAATGCCAACCTGTGCCCATCCATGAACCTCACCCTGAAGAGCTGTGGTCTGAAACTAAGCTGTGCTCACTTGAAAGTCCCATATTTTCGGAATTTGTAGGGAGTATATGAATCCCCAAGTTAAGTTCCTAGATATGGGGCCAACTTGTTAGTGTTGGGTCTATCTAGCACTATATGAAGTAACCTACCTCACTGAGAACTCATCATATTTGTATGTGTTTCCTGCTTAGCCTCTATAATCTCCAATTATAGAACAATCTTTAAATATAAATATAATTAATTATCTCAATGGAAACTGACCAAGACTATCAATAGGCCTTTATATATACACTGATGGCTTATATTTTCTATTTTTTATAAAAATATGCTCTATACTGAATTTTTGGACTGGAACCCAGATTCTTTGTCAGCCAGAATCGAAGAATGAATCCACAGACGGAAAATGGTATAGCATAGGTGGAGATTTATTGAAGAACAAGTGCAAACTCCATGTAGGGAGGGGGGAAAGGGTCCCACTGGGTTCCCTTTTCCTATGGCTTCTATAGGCTGCAGATCCTGGTGCCTTGATATCCCCTTAGACTGGTCACTATTCCCTTAAAATGGTTAGGATAGTAATTCCTGGGCTCAAAGGTTGAGGTTCTCCCCCTCCCCCATTGTTCCTCTATTCCCTCTGGGCTTTCTTCTTCTTCTTCTCTCTCTCTCTCTTTTTTAATATATTTTATTGATTTTTTACAGAGAGGAAGAGAGAGGGATAGAGAGTTAGAATCATCCGATCAGCTGCCTCCTGCATACCCCCTACTGGGAATGTGCTTGCAACCAAGGTACATGCCCTTGACAGGAAAGGAACCTGGGACCTTTCAGTCCCCAGGCCAACACTCTATTCACTGAGTCAAACAGGTTTTGGCTTCTTCTCCTCCTTCTGAAAGAAGGGCTTCCTTCTCTTTATTTTGTAAATATAGACCTTTCTTGGCTACTTCCAGTTCCCTTATCTTATGGAAATATCCTTTTGCTACTTCCTTATCTTAAGGAGATGTAACTGCACCAGGATTCCTTGCGTTTTGGAAATGTACCTTCTCCCAGTCTGTAGCCCCAAGCTTTTCCATGGACCCCAATTCTAAAAAATCCCTAAGCCTGCTTATGTTCCCCCAAAATTCCCACTTCAATACCACCATTTTTAATATTCCCCAACTTTTTATTTAAAAAAACTTCAAACCCACAAAGTTGAAATAGTAATAATAAAATATTAATGCTGTCTTCATACACAAGGCTATTTGATCAAAATAACACAGTGGCCTCTGCTCTACATTAATATCTAGATACCTTCTTCATGCTTACAAGAAAAGAAGGCTCATTTTTAGTGAGAGGAGCTTTCCGTCCTCAGGAAGTCTATGTAATGACTTTTTGTAGTGCTTTCACTCAGCTCATTAGAAACACGGGACAGGACTTATTCCCATTCTATAGATGAGGAAACAAACGCAGAATGGCCAAATAAGCTACCTCCTCAAGGTTTGAAATCAATGATCCAACTGAAACCAGAAAGATTTTTGACTTCAGTAACTCAACATTCTATGGTCACTTCGCTTCCTGGATAGACAAAGAGTAAGATCAGAGCTAAGTAGATGTGAAAGGAGTATTTTAGTGTTCTTCTGACAATCAGAAAGCTAATATCCACTAGGACCCATATGCATAGCATTATCAATCAGAAATCTGTTATTAGGAACATAAAACCAGTGTGGAAATCTGGAATGGGAGAATAGTTACAGAAGATACTGACATTTCTGTCAAGTGCCCTGGTTAGAGTTCATTTATTGAGGAGCTTATTCTGTCCTAGGTACTGTGTTTGGGATTTAGAGCAAATCTATAGACAAGGAGTCTTATCTTTGTGGAGTTCACATTTGAGTGGGTTAATGATCCACCCAGAAGCTGCCAGTAAGAGACTGGTGGGCTGCATCTGGCTCACATTAGTGTTTTGTTTGGTCCATACAGTGCTTAATTTAAAAAAAAATCATCTGTCAACTTCTAGCTTCTCTGAAACTGGCAATTTCTGCTGGATTCCTGAATAATAAGTAGCAGCCACCACTGTTCCTTACCCAGAATACATGCCCTCCAGGGATTACTTCGGTTCCTATTTCCTACTGTCTTACACCCAGAAAACACCAATTCACACTACATCTACATTAACCACTTGACATCTATAAGCATTTCAATTGAAACCCCTGAAGCGAACAAATATCCAAACAAGATAATTTCAAATAGCACTAAGAAATAAAAAATAATAAAATACCCTAATGTTATGTGGTTGGTAGAAAGGGCTACTTCAGACGGGGTGATTAGGGAGGGTCTTTCTGAAGTGTAATTGAAATTGAGACCTGAATTATGACAAACATAACAAGTCAACCAACAGAAAAGAAAAATGCTTCTAAGCAGAGGGAACATCATAGGCTCAAGTCCCCCTTAAGGCTGGAAATAATTTGGCTTAGTTGAGGTACAACAAGGTTGTGGTTGTTGAAAAAGTGGTATAAAGAACACACAGGAAGGAAAAAGCCAGAATACATAGGGCCTAGTGGACCGTGGTGAGAATTTTGGATTTTATCACAAGTGCGATGGGAAGCCTTTGGAGGGTTTTAACTGGAGAACAATGTGATCTGGTTTACATTTCAGAAGATCACTCTGTTATGTGGAAAAGTGATTTAGTGAAACAAGAGAAGAAGCAGGGAGACTAATGCGTAAGCTATATTATCAGTAGGTGACAGTGGCTAGGACCAGAAATGGTAACAGAAAAGATGGAGAGAAATAAATTCAGGATATAATATAATATGGAATATAGCCAAGAGTTTTGGTAACAAAAAAGATGGAGAGAGAGAAATTCAGGATATAATATGGAATATAGCCAAGAGTTTTTTTTGTAAGTGGATGGTTGTAGTGGTAGTGGGGCAGAATGAATAATGAAAGGGAATAATGATAACTCCAAGGCTGGGGCTTGCTCAAACATTTATGTGAATTGGGGGTGAGTAAGAGAGGTCCCAGTTTTAAAGAGAAGAAATAAGAATTTGATTTTAGATGAGTAAGTTTTACCTAGACCCAAGTCTTCCTAGATTCCTCATTTTCTTTATTTTGCATCCCACATCTGAGCAGTCCTTAAACTCCAAAATTCAAACTTCTAAATATTTAATATCTTATCAAATCTATCCCTTCAACTTCAAATCCACTGCCTCTCCTCACGTACCTCCTTTGTTGGTTCAATCCTCTCTTATCATTTCTTTTACAACAGATTTCTGCAGCTACAAATAAACTAACAAAAAGCACTTAATATTAAGCACTTACTATTAGATAAGTGTACTGCTCTCCCACCAACCACCTTTGATGATAAAGATCATGTCTTATTTATACTTATCTCCAGTGCCTTGAGCTGTGGTGGGCAGAGTAGGCACTCAAATGTTTAATGAACTGAAAAGGGGCACCCTCCAATAGGATATAACCTTGTGAAAAAGAAGACTCCATTTTGGGATTCTGTGATTCCTCCATACCACCTGATACAAAAAGTATGAATCCAGAAACTTCACCTTCCCAAAAGACATGTTTCTTCCTAATTTACAATAGTTTCAAACTACAGTGTTTGAGACTCACTTGCATCCATTAGTTAGTAAATGATACTGGACAATATATAACATATACTAACTACTCTTTTCTACTTTTCTTCCAAATCTAAGGACTTTATATTCTCAATAGAAGCCTGGTGAATGAAAATTCATGCACTGGAGGGGGGTCCCTCAGCCTGGCCTGCCCACTCGCACAGTCCAGGAGCCTTCAGGGGCGGGAGGCGACCTGGCAATCAGGGGAAAGCGATGCCCCCATCACACCTCTGCTGCTGCCACTGCCAGCGGCACAAGCCTCAGCTGGTCCTGGTTACCTGAGCCTTGGGTGGCCCTGGACGGCTTGGCAGCCACCATCTGAGGCTTGTCTGCATCTCGGGCCAGCCCCGGGCAGCCTGGGGGGCAGAAGGGATTGGGGGGACTCTGGAGGCAGGTGGCAGGCCATGCCATGTGCCTGCCACCCCAGCAGGACTGAACGCCATCATCTTTGAGGGAGTGACAGTCAATTAGCATATTCCCTCCTTTGTTGGCTGTTATCACTATCTTTGTGAGGGTGTGATGGCCAATTACCATATTCCCTCTTTATTAGGATATCCCCACAACATCTTTGTAAGGAGGTCAAAAGGTTTTTCTCTATTTTACAAATAAGAAAACAGGCACAGAATGAAGTCCCTTAATTACTTTTTTTGTTGTTGTTAATCCTCACCAGAGGATATTTTTTCCATTGATTTAAAAATATATATATTTATTGATTTCAGAGAGGAAGGGAGATAGATAGAAATATCAATGATGCCCTAACCGGTTTGGCTCAGTGGATAGAGCATCAGCCCTCAGACTGAAGGGTTCCAGGTTCGATTCTGGTCAAGGGCATGTGCCTTGATTGTGGGCACATCCCCAGTAGGGAGTGTGCTGGAGGCAGCTGATCAATGTTTCTAGCTCTCTATCCCTCTCCCTTCCTCTCTGTAAAAAATCAATAAAATATATATATTTTTTAAAAGAAACATCAATGATGAGAAACCTGGGCATGTACCCTGACCAGGAATCGAACCATGACCTCCTCGTTCATAGCTTGATGCTCAACCACTTAGCCATGTTGGCTAGGCCCATCGATTATTTTAAAAAAGAGAAAGTGGACAACAGGAGAGAGAGAGGGGAAGAAAAGGGGACAGAGAGAAGGATAGAAGGAGATTGAAACGTTGATGTGAGAGAGACACATCGATTAGGGGCCTCTGACTGGGGTTGGGGATCAAACCTGCAACCCAGGTACGTGCCCTTTATTAGGAATTAAACCCAAGGAAATGCTCTAACCACTGAGAAATACTGGCCAGGGCAGTACTTGGGCATTCAAACTTCTTTGGGTAACAGAAGGTCAAAGACCATGTTTCCTGTCTCTTCTATTTACCACTCTCCTCAATGACCAGTGAAGACAGATTCTGCCCTTTGGATTCAGGAAAAAGCACCTTGGTCATTTATGTTGGAAGATCAAGTAAGGCTAGGAGTCAATCGGCAACAAGAGAAAGAGATCAAATAGGCAAGAACAGCTTCAATGGAAAGGGGAGAAGAGGGGCCACCATTAAAAAAAATCAGGAACCCCTTTCAAAAGGTTTCCAGCTGGTGAGTACGGGAAAGAAAAGTGTCAGCAGTGGTGGCAACAGAAGGCCAGATCCTTCCTGCTACACCCTTCAGAGTCATTTCTTCAAGGCACCCAGGCTCTTCAGGGCCTCCTGGGCCTGGGTCAGCTGCTGTTGCAGCCTCTTGCGGGTGCTCTCATTGGAGGCCCGTTTCAGGAGGCTTTGCATTTCTTCCACCACTGCCCGATGACCAGGGGAGTTATGAAACAGCCGCACTGCTCGGTCCCCACAGGAGGCCAGAAGTCGGCCAGTGATATCAAAGGACAAGTCAGTGATACATTCCCCATGGACCTGCTCAAAGCATTCTTCTTTCTCACCCCGCCGGGTATTGTAGAGATGAATACTGGTGCCACTGGCCAAAGCCAAGACCTGAGCATCAGGGGACAGTGCCAGGCGGCAGGGGTTGGTACTCGCCTCTTCAAAGCGGCCTGTCCTCAGCAAGTAGGGGTCCTGCTGCTTCTTGTATTCCACATCTGTGTCCCACAGTTTCCATGTACCATCCTTGGAGACAGAGGCCATCCTGCAGCATGGAAAATCATAGTTCTAGTGCCAACTCACCCTGGAGCAGAGAGCACTCGGGCAGCACTAAGGGCTCCAATTAGGAAGCCAACTTCACTGCGATGTCTATTTCCTGCTGAGTGAGGGTCAGGCACCCTACCCACTTTAGAGCTGCTGCAGGTAGTTGGAAAGACCCTGATTATCAAGAAGGGCTGAGAGCCACTGGTAAGAAATCAGAGAATTCACTCACCTTCGGGAGTCATTGGAGAAAGCAAAGAAGTGGACAGCTGCTGAGTGGCCCTTCAGTTCAAAGGCTCGTACAACCTCTTGGAAGTCACCTTTTTTCCCAAAGCAGACTTCCCAAACTTTGACATCCGGGGTGAAGCCACATGAGGCCACAAACCTGCCATATAAGCCGGGTTCCTTTAAAACTTTATTTTAAGGGCATCTCGTTTCTGCAAACCCATTAATTAAGCCTCTTTCTTGAGAAATTTAATAATCTTATACCTAAATAACATTATTTTTTAAAGTGCTTTTATACACATCTGTTTACCTACATAGCCATGCTATAAGATACATAGTAGTCCCATTTAAAAACTATAGATGGCCCTGGCCTGTTTGGCTCAGTGGATAGAGCGTCAGCCTGCAGACTGAAGGGTCCCAGGTTCGATTCTGGCCAAGGGTACATGCCTGCATTGCAGGCTTGATCCCCAGTAGGGGTTGTGCAAGAGGCAGCCAATCAATGATTCTCATCATTGATATTTCTATCTCTCTCTCCACCTCTATCCTCTCTGAAATCAATAAAAAATGTATTTTAAACAAACAAAAAACTATAGATGAAGAAATAGAGAGGACTTAAATCTAGATGTCCCAGTTTCACACTGTATGCTCTTTCCATTATTTATAATTGGCTCACTGCTCTGTCCTCAGTCCCCAGCCCCCAGCCCCAACCTCTACCCATCCCAGATGCCAAAGTCCCTCCTTCCTCACCTGCTACAAGGGGATATAGCAGCATGTGCATTGTTCATCTGGTTGGTGTTAATGGTAGACAACACCTGACCTTTCAGATTCCAGATGAGGACAGTTGTGTCACTGGAAGCAGTCATGATGAACTTTCCTGAGGAGTGAGGAGTATATAAGCTGAGGTCAATTACTTGACCAATTATCAATCTCTAAGGAGACACTTATGAAGGCCTTTGCTGCCCAAAGTATCCTTGCTCCCCTCCCCTCCAGGGCCAAGGGTCAACACAGATAAAGATTTTGCTAAATGTGGCTCTTACCTGCCTTCCCTAATTAATTTACTATGGCTCCCAGACTCCAGGGGAACACAGAGCCCCTTATCATGCTGGGGCTGAGCAAAATGCTGAAAGGCAGCATTAACTCACTCAGCACATAAACCAGTAACTAGGGCCATGCCCTCCTGCCTTGGGCAAGGTCCACCCTCTGAATGTCTCTTACCTGTATCAGCAATGCCAATGTTGATGACAGGTGCCTTGTGCTTTTTAGGAAAATCTTCTGGGGTGGGTGTGAATATATATCCCCCATCCTCTCGCTTGGTCATCTTGAAGACACGGAGGGTATCGCCATTGGCCAGCCAGACAATGAAGGCTCTAAAGACAGGTAGCAGACAAGTAAGTAATTCATGCATTGGAACAGAGTCCTATGTATGCCAGGTCCTATGCTAGATTCTAGTTGTAAGACACCACTGCACTCGGACCAGCCTATCTATGCTAGATTCTGAAGAAAATCAAGACCTCCCCTCATGCCCTATTATCCAGCCTGACTTTACCCTTTGGTTCAAAATCTCTTAAAAACTCCCCAAAAGATAGACCTTTAATAGCTTTTACTCATTTAGTTTCTCTAGGGCTCTGAAAATCAATATAGCTCCCAAGACTAATCTGGAAGCCTGACTTTGGTACTTTGTAGGTCACTTCCTTAATTTAGCAGCATAACCCTCTAGGGCAGTGGTCAGCAAACTCATTAGTCAACAGAGCCAAATATCTACAGTACAATAATTGAAATTTCTTTTGAGAGCCAACTTTTTTAAACTTAAACTTCTAATGCCACTTCTTCAAAATAGACTCGCCCAGCTGAAACCGGTTTGGCTCAATGGATAGAGCGTCGGCCTCCGGATTGAAAGGTCCCGGGTTGGATTCTGGTCAAGGGTACATCCCCAGTAAAGAGTTTGTAAGAGGCAGCTGATCGATGATTCTCTCTCATCAATGTTTCTAATTCTCTATCCCTCTCTCTTCCTCTCTGTAAAAAGTCAATAAAATATATTAAAATAAATAAATAAAAATAGACTCACCCAGGCCCTGGTATTTTGTGGAAGAGCCACAATCAAGGGTCCAAAAAGCTGCATGTGGCTCATGAGCCGCAGTTTGGCAACCATGGCTCTAGGGCTCCCCAAGCATTACTCAATCTGTCTGGATGCTCTTTTTTCTGCTACCCAAAGGAAGACCTTGAGTCCCTGCCCTCACTATCCCAAACAAGATATGGGAAAGCCACAAACAAGCTTGGAACTGGGCTTCTACAGGCAAACCTGAGGCTCCATCCTGTCCCACCTGCAGTCAGGGCTGAAGCGCACCAGGGTGGCATGGTCCAGCTCCACATTGGCTCTCATGCTGCGGTGCTCCCGCTGTAGGAAGTCCTTTGTGCTCCAGATGAGGACGGTGCGGTCATCTGCACAGGTGGCCAGGTACTTGCCATTGCTGCTAAAATCCATGCAAGATATGTTCCCACTGTGGCTCTAGGGGAAAGGGATGCAGGAAGCATGAACAGGAACCCCTTGGGCAGATGGGGAACCCTATTATGCAGCCATGACTCCAGGGCCCTGTAGCCTGGATTAATAGCAAGATGCTGATGGGAGGTGATGAGAAAGGACAGAATGTGGCATCCAGACTGATGTTGGTCAGAGACCGAGGGGTCTATAACTATATACAAAATACTACAAAGGAAAAGTCTGCATGTGTGTTGTGCATGGTACCCATGTACCTTCAGTGCTGCAGCCAGGAGACGGTGGGTGAAGTTGTGTTGTTGAGGCTTCTCCTTACGAATACGCTGTTGCTGTTTCTGCTTCTTGGATTTCAAGGACTTGTCAAGTGGAAGTCCATTTGCTTTTTGGCCTATAAGAAGGGCCACGTCACCCATCCATTATTCACTCAATAAGCATTTACTAACTACCTATAATTGGCCAGGCATTGAGGGAAGCAACAAGAGATGACCAGATATGGCCCCTGTCCTCAACAAGGAGTGGTGATAACAGGCAAAATCGGAGGCTTTGGATTGTGACCTTGAGGAGGCTGTTTGCTGCTACTCAGTCAATTCAGCACCTCAATGCAAATTAGAAAAGGCATCCTCTCTGGGCTGGTACAGTTCAGTGGGTACACAGCATGGCCAGTGGAATGCAGATCCTTGACCAGACATCCCTATTTAGGGAATAATGTGCACAACCAAGCCTTGGTAATTTACTCAACTGCTCTGGGCCTTGGTTTCCTTAAAATTATGAGAACTGGATAATACATACAAAATGACAAGTAAAGGACCCAACACAAGCATTAAAGGCTCAAAGGACTCAGAACTGAGGGATAAGAGTTACCCAGCGCCAGAAACAGTACCAGGTACTTTTGCATGAAATAATTAATTTAATGGAGAATCAGGCCAGGTGCAAAGTGATCCAACAGTCACCACAGACACTCCTCAATTCCTACAAGAAAAAACAACCTCCTGAGGCCCAAATGCAAAGATAGCCACAATGTGCCCTCTGCTTACCTCTCCAGCCACTATCGAAGTGTTCTATTATTTTATGTTAATGATTACTCATTTACTTCAGCCCTTTGTATTCAGCATGTTTCTATCAAAATAAACTTCCGGCCGAAACCGGTTTGGCTCAATGGATAGAGCGTCGGCTTGGGGACTGAAGGGTCCCGGGTTTGATTCCGGTCAAGGGCATGTACCTTGGTTGGGGGCATATCCCCAGTAGGGGGTGTGCAAGAGGCAGCTGATCGATGACTCTTTCTCATCGATGTTTCTAACTCTCTATCTCTCTCCCTTCCTATCTGTACAAAATCAATAAAATATATTTTAAAAAAATAAAATAAACCTTCGTTTCTATGAAAATGGAAGCTTTTGTTTTTTTTGCGGCCCACATAGACTTCAACCTTATTTGGCCTGTGTTGGCCTTTTGAGTTTGACATGCTTGCCGTAAGACCACATCTCTTGTGTTCCCTGCTCTCAGTGAAGATTTCCTCGACATCCTCCCCACCAAAAATAGATAAATAAAAAAGGAGGGCTGACCATTCCCACCACTGGGTTTCCTGTGTCTAGTACTAACCTCTTCTAAGAAACCTATTACACTATATTTTTTTCTTACATTTTTAGATGTTCTTTTCCATTACCCCATTGTGGACTCCCTAAAGGAAAGACCCCAAAACCTTCTGAGACAGTAGGTACACAACAGTAGGTAGACAATAAATCAGGGAACTGGTCAAGGTGCTTACAAATGAATGGCAGTCCGTCCCTCACCTTCCCCTACCCCACTTTCCCTCCAGTTTCATAACATAACGAGCAAGTAGAGCGCTTGGGAGTCTAGAGGCGATCTCGCAGCAACCCTGGGGACAAGCTGAGACTCAGAAGGCAAAGCGGTTTGGCCTCGGCCAACCAAGCCAGCGGCAGCGGCGGGCCCAGGTTCGAACGAGTCTTTCCGAAGGGGAGCGACCAGCCGGGACGGGCGGTATCTCTGGTCCGGAAGCTCATTCATTCCACAAGAGGAGACGCTGAGGCCCAGGGGGAGCCGGCACCCCCTCGAGCCTAGGCCGGAGGTCGGATCCCTGGGAAGTCGGAAGCGAGGTCGCCGCAGGCTGCCCCTGCCCGCCCCGGCCCCACTCACCGGCAGGCCGGCCGCTGGTCTCTTCCTCTGAGCGTAGCCACCCCCGCGCTACCGCCGCCGTCGCCACCAGGGCCAGCAGCCCTAGCAAGAGCGACACTCCCATCAGCTCCGGCATCTGTGGCAGTTCCATGTTGGCCGGAGGGATGCCACCTCAGCCTCAGGCTACGCGGACGGCGCAGGCACGTACCACAGGGCCACGCACGCACGCACGCACGCACGCGGGGCGGTGCCTGACCGTTAAAACACCTCGAGAGGCGGGGCCTGACCAATGAAGAGTCCTGAGGGGCGGGGCCTGACCATTAGAGCGTCCCGAGGGGTGGGGCCTGACCATTGGCGGGTCCCCGGGGCCGGGGCCTGACCACTGGAGGGTCCCCAGGGGCGGGGCCTGGCCGTTGGCAGGTGTGTGGTGGTTAATGGGTTGGGAGGGAGTCTTAGCATCAAGGGAAATTCAGATAGGCTTTTACTATTAATGGAGAAGGAATAGAGTAATCCTGGAATTGGAGTGTGGGACAGCCTCAGCAAAGACCTGAGAAGGAGGAATGCTGTGGGGGAGGCAGGACATGATCAAAATAAAAAGTAGCAGGTAGCCGAAACGGGTTTGGCTCAGTGGATAGAGCGTCGGCCTGCGGACTGGAGAGTCCCAGGTTCGATTCTGGTCAAAGGGCATGTACCTTGGCTGCGGGCGCATCCCCGGTAGGGAGTGTGCAGGAGGCAGCTGGTCGATGTTTCTCTCTCATTGATGTTTCTAGCTCTCTGTCCCTCTGCCTTCCTCTCTGTAAAAAATCAATAAAATATATATATTTTTAAAAAGTAGCAGGTAAGCCCTAGCCAGTTTGGATAGAGCCTCCGCCTTCAGACTGAAAGGTCCCGAGTTCACTTCTGGTCAACCGCACATGCCCAGGTTGTGGGGGCGAGCAGGAGGCAGCCAATCAATGATTCTCTATGTTGCTATCGCTCCCTCCCCTTTCCTCTTTGAAATCAATAAATATATATATTACTAGCTACTTTTAAAATATATCAATAAATATATATATATATATTAATAGCTACCTTTAATATGTATATATATATATATATATATATATATATATATATATATATTAAAGGTTGCTAGTAAGACTGGAAAGGTCTAGAGGGCTTTGAGGGCCAGCCAGCTCAATCCAACAAGCAGAGATGAATCTCCACTGGTTATTACAGGAAGAAGAGGGCAAAATTACCCAAATTAAAAAAAAAAAAAAGGGCACAATTGGTATCTTCAAAATTTTCTGGATAGACCAGTGGGTGCCAAGAGCAAAGACAAAGGGAAACCATCAGGTGTTTACTAGGATCCAAGAGGGGGACGATAAGGGCCTAGACTTAAGGGCAGCCTGGGGAGTAGAGAGGAATTTGAAAAATTTTAAACAAGACATTTCTTTTTTTTTTTTTAATCCTCACCCAAGAATATGTGTGTTTTTTAAATTGATTTTTAGAGAGAAAGATAGAGATTGATTGGTCGCCTCCTTGTACCAACCCTGGAAGGATCAAACCTGCAATCTTTTGGTGCATGGGATAGCGCTCCCAACAAACTGAGCCACCTGGCCAGGGCAAGGCATTTCTTATTTTGAAACAAAATACACAATGGGTTGAAAAAAATGAACAAAATTTTCCCCAGTTTTCCCCAATGGTAGCATCTTCCATAACTATAGTGTAATATGAAAACCAGGAAAAGGGCATTGATACAATCTATAGAACTTATTCAGATTTCACAAAAAAGGAAGATATTTTGAAAGACTAATAATAGAATTTAGATTAGACATGCTTGGTTGGAGTGGGAATAGTTCCAGAACAGACATGCCCTGTGGGCCTCCCAGCCCTGAAACCCACAGCAAGTTGAAGTATTAGGGTTAGAGATTCCATATTCAAACATTTCCATGCCCACCTGGGAGCCTCTTCTGACAGTGCAGACTCTGGTCTTTGAGAAAGTTCCCCTGAGGAGAGAGGCTGCTTCAGAGACTATATGACAGAGACATACCCATAGGCTTGGTGAGGAAGCAGATCAGTCAGAGAGCAAATGGAGCGGCCTCATTTCCTTCCCTTTTGTGTGTGTGTGTGTGTGTGTGTGTGTGTGTGTGTGTGTGTGTGTTGGCATTGACTGAGCTGTGGGCAGTGGGGTAGGGAGGGCTAGAGGGGGTGCCCAGAGCATCCTGGAGCTTTTCCTCCTAATTTGCTTTTTTGGAACTATAGGCCCAGCCAAGGACCACTTTCTTTACTACCTAGAGACAAAGCTGTGCTTAGGAAGAATTTCATTCATCACGCATTTTGCATGTGGCGTTGATTGATCCCGGAACTTTGCATTTCATTTAATCTTCTCATATTCCCATCCTATGAATTGGGAGACTGATGCTCTAGGAGGTGCTCATTAAGTGACTTTTCAAAGGTCACACAGGTGAAGAGTGAACCTGGGTACACATGCAGGTCTATGACCCCAATCTATTGATGTGGGGGACAGAGAGAAGCAAGAGTAGGGCTCAGTGGTATACAGCTCAGTACAAAATTCTTTCACATCACAAGTTCAGTTCAGTTCTTTTTCTTTTTTCTTTTTTATTGTCACCTGAGGAGTGAGGATATTTTTCCATTGATCTTTAGAGAGAGTGGAAGAGAGGTGAAGGGGAAGAGAGAGAGAGAGAGAGAGAGAGAGAGAGAGAGAGAGAGAGAGAGAGAGAGAGAGAGAGAGGAAAAAGAGAAATATCCACTGTGAGAGAGACACGTTGATTGGTTGCCTCCCTAAGGTAAGTGCCTGACTGTGGGGTGGGAACCAACTTGCAACCCAGATATGTACCCATGACTTGGAATCAAACCCAAATCCTCCTGGTGCACCGGCCAGGGATTAGTTGTTCTTTATAGAGCACTCTAATATGCCATGAAATAATTCTAAACAGGTGAAAAAAATAAGCTCGGGTCAAGTAACTTACCCAAGGTCAACAAAGAAGCCAGGGATAGAGTCCAGAGTCAAAGTTGGGTCTGCTACACTCCTAGTTCACACTGGGTTGTGGTAAATAAGGTCTTACTCTTATCCTCAATTCCACTTAGAAGCCAAGGCCAACATTTGGAAGGATTTGATAAAGCTGGGCAGATCAGGAGGGAGATCTGCCAATGGATTTTGAGGGGTGTTGAGATCTGGCTATCTGCCCTTTAGAGGTGGGCATTTTTACATGTGAAGCAGAAAATAGGAGGGAATTCTAGGTGGGAAACGAGGCATGAGCAAAGGTATGAAGGAAGAACTGATTCCTGTACAGAAGGGAGTGACTATGACAGCCTGTCTGGGTGAGTGTTGCAGATGGGATCAGAGAAAGGATGCGGTAAGGAGGGGTGTGTATATTCAGGGTGACAGAAAAATCTAGGTCTCTATATGAACCAGCCATTCCATTTTTGGGGATTTAGTCAAAGAAACCCAAAACACTAATTCAAAAGAATATATGCATCCCTATGTTCATTGCAGCATTATTTGCAATAGCCAAGTTAAGCAACCCAAGTGCCCATCCATGAGTGGATAAAAAAGCTGTGGTATTACTTAGCCATAAAAAAGGAATGAAATCTTACCATTTGTGATAGCATGGAGGGCCTAGAGTAGGGGTGTCGAACTCAATCAGAGAAGGGGCCAAAATCTAAAATCCAGCCTAAATCGCGGGCCGAATGGTTTACTGAACAGTCATAAACTGTCATTGTGATGGAAACGCAGCGGAGTGCAGTGATGACAGCGCGGTGCGGGCCACATTGCAAGGCCTGGCGGGACGGATTTGGCCCGCGGGCCTTGTGTTTGACACATGTGGCCTAGAGGGTATTATGCTTCGAGAAAGACAAATATCATATGATTTCACTGATATGTGAAATCTAAAGAATAAAACAAAAAAAATCAAAACAGACTCAGACACAAAGTCTGAGAGGAAGAGGGTTGGGGGACTGGGTTTTCAAAAGATGGGAGGGGGTTAGAGAGATGGATGAAAAAGGTGAAGGAATTAAGTACAAATTGGTAATTATGGAACAGTCACAGGGCTCAGTCACAAAGCACCTTGAACATCTGGTCAAAAACCTGGCAATGGAGCCAAAGAAGTAGTGGAAACATAACTTTAATTTGCAATTGAAGATCCACCTTGCATTGACTGTAGTCTTCTCTACCCCTGGCCTGTGTTAGGTGGAACGCTAAATTTCATCATTGTTTAATTAGTGGTTTTCAAAGTTTGAGCCCTGGACCCAGCATCATTAAAAATACAAATTCTGCTCTAGCTGCTTTGGCTCAGTGAATAGAACGTCAGCTCGAGGACTGAAGGATCCAGGGTTCGGTTCTGGTCAAGGGCACATGCCTAGAGTTGCAGGCTTGATCCCCAGTAAGAGGCATACAGAAGGCAGCCAATCAATGATTCTCTCTCATCATTGATGTTTCTATCTTTCCCTCTCCCTTCCTCTGAAAATCAACAAAAATATATTTTAAAAAATAAATTCAAATTCTCAGACTTCATCTCAGATTAGCTGACTCAGAAACTTTTGGTGGGGGTCTGGCAATCTGTATTTAACATGCCCACTAAGTGATTTCTGATACACATTAAAGTCTCTGAATCAGATTTAAACTAACCTGAGCTCCAGACATATATAATTTGCAGGTGAAAGCCTCTATTACAGTAGTTCTTAATCTTAGTTGCATATTGAGAATATCTTAAAAGATGTTGATGTCTAAACCCCATAACCAGAGCTTGATTTAATTGATCCAGATTGGGCTTGGTCATGATTTTTTTAAAACTCCCCTCCCAAAAACAAATTATTTAAATGCACATTTAAGTTTGATGTCAGCTGTAAGGGACACAGGACGCCCATGCAAAGACAATGTTCTGTTGGGCCAGGGCAGTGACTGTGGAGATGAATGCTTACAAGGTCAACTGGCCAGGCCTCTGTAACAGATACTGTAGGATAGTGGGGTGTGGGGAGGAGCCAGGAATGACTGTTTGCAGCTTATGCAAGTGTCTGAATGGTGGCATCTTTCCTGAGGATGGAGTGCGTGGAGAGGACCAGGTTTGAGGGGGAAAACTTGGAGTACAGTCTTAGAAATTATGAGTTCTGTTTTGACCCCTTCAAGGTTAAGGAAGCTGTGTAACATTCAGAGGGAGGGGTCAGGGTGGCAGTTGGATATGTGGTTGTGTAGCTCCAGGGGGCCCAGCAAGATAGACACAAGGTCCTCAGGAGAGAGGTGGAGGGGAGGGGATTGCCTGGGACTTGCCCTAGTGAGAGGGAAGCAGGCCAGGAAAAGGGACTGGTGGAGGAGGCTCCCACAGCAGGAAGGCACTGTCAGGAAGGAGGGAGGAAAGCCTGCCAGGAATTCAGGATTCGAAGGGAGAGTGGTTGAAGAAGGTGGTGTAAGGGCTGGGGGAAAGACAAGAGCACACAAAGTGGTTGTTGGATTTGGCAATGAAGGAGGCAAGGGACTTCGGTGAAAGAATCAGTCCTGGGGTAGGCTGTGCTGGAAGGTGGGAGGAGGAGCCCAAAGGCAGGCAGCTGGGTAAGTGGCAGGGGTGGGGGAGAGCAAGACAACTCCTTCACAGGACAGTGGCATCTAGAGAATACAGAGTCAAGGGGATGTCTTATGAGCATCTCCCTGGTGGGTTATGAGTAGGTGAAAAACAGCAGAGCACAAACTGCCAGGATTTTACCTTTCAAAGAGTCACTTCAAGTTGTGGTCTGCAGCAGCAAATAGCACTTTAAGTTTGTGTGCACCTGTCACTGCACAGTAAAGAGAAGTGTCTGAAGACAGAAATGTCAGTCTGAGTGGGCATCTCATTAAGCATGCAACCTGGGGCCAGTTAACCTCTCTGTGCCTCAAGTTTTCATCTGTGAAATGGGGATATTATAACTCTTATGTAGTGTTCTTTGCCAGGCACTGTTGTGCTTTACATATATTTACTCCTTTTAAAAATTGCTCTGAGGAAGGGAGAGAGAGAGAAAAGAAAAAAGAAAAGAAAAAAGGAGAGAGGTAGAAATAGAGAAATTTGTTTTTCCACTTATTTATGCATTCATTGGTTGATTCTTATATGTGCCCTGACTGGGAATTGAACCTGCAACCTTGGTGTTTTGAACCTGCAACCTTTGGTGTTCTAACCAACTGAGCTACCTGGCACTCGACCAGGGCTTGTATTTACTCTCAAATCCTCACAACAGGCCTGTAGAAGTGGGTATGGTAAAAATTAACTGAGTAGGGATAAAGCCCTGACGATAGCTTGGCATGCAGTAAACACTGGATAGTTATGCAGTTATTGTTATTATTCTATGTGAATAAGAAGGGCAAAGCCCACAAAAGACTGTGTTTATATCCTGCAAATGCCTCCAGAAGTTCTGAGATGTGAGAGGATTCAAACTTGCCAGGCCCGAATGGTCAGCTCCATGAGAGGAGTACAGCAGAGAACAGAACCCCGAGAGCCACGACATCGCCTGTTCACAACAGGCCCTCAGGGAATGTTTGTTCAATGGGTCAATGAAAGGATCAATGAAGTATTGGGTTTTTTTACCCCAACTCCCACCTGAAGTATCAGTTTCTTCTAAGACATCCCAGCCAATGGCTATCCGGTCTGCTTGCACAGTGGGGACGGCACTGCTCTCTGCAGCAGCACGTTCTCTTCCTGGATGGTTCTGATGGATGGCCCTGTCACTTCCACTCCTGGATCCCAGCTCTGCCCTCTTCCACCTTGGAAAGTAGTGAGCCTCTTATGAACCCTCTCCTGGCCAGGGAGGGAGGATTTCCGAGGTGAGTGTCATCTCCCGGCTGGATGACAGCAATAGCCTCAAATCCGGCTGCTTTACTTTCACCATTGCCCCGTGGTGGCCTATTCTCAACTTGGCACTCAGAGGAATCCCGTTCAGAAGAAGTTAACATCGAATCTTGTCCCGCCTCTAGTCATAGCCCTCCAGTGGCTCTCCAGCTCAGAAGCCACAACCCACTGCCAACCGACTCTCCAATCTAGAGCAAGATACGCTGACCATCCCTGACAGTTTGTTTTTATTGGTCAAAATTCTCTACAAAACACACACACACACACACACACACACACACACACACACACGCACGATGCCTGCCTTGGTTTGGCCACCACCCGTGCTGGTGTTCTCCTGGGACCAGAATTTCCAGGCTTCGTCCACCCATCCACCCAGGGGTGCTATCCTGCAGCGCCCCCAGGTTACCGGTGAAGGCACAGAGAGAACCCCCTTTTCTGCTTTGCTCAGAAACAAGAGGCATGTGCTCTACCTGTTGGGGAGCAGATGGGAGTGACAGAGGAATAGGATCTTCCCATTCTCTCCTTCAAGTTCCTTGAGTTGCCAGTTTAGGCCCCAAGTGTCACAGCTGCTAAGGCCTTGGGATCATCATCTGGTTGAGCCTTCCTCACCCCCATTTTGCAGACTGGAAAATGGAGGTCCAAAGATGGAATACAAGTCCCCTACGTCACAGTGTAGTCACTGGAAGAGCAGGCACTGGAACTCAGTGTTTTCTGACTTCCAGGTGGTGGGCAGAGGCCAGGGGCCTGCTTCACTCTCAGGAAAGGGGACAACCAGGGCCGGGGGCAGGAAGGGAGAGCCCAGAAGCTGTGTCTGGAGCCCACATCCAAGGAAAGTAGTCCCCAGGGCAGCTGAGTGAATGGCAGGGTCTGCTCAGCTTTATAATGGTTTGCCTTCTGTGACCGCCCGTGTGGCTTGCTCAGGTATACAGCCTGGGTCCGTCAGGATGCTGGTAGATGTGCTCAACTGGCGGAGAGAGTTCAGGACAGCTGTGAAAAGAGAAAGATGCCTCCTGTGGTCAGGGACCTACCCTTGGATGCTGAAGACAAGGAGGTATGGGGAAATGCTGGTGGGCTAGACTGTCCGTAGTGTCTTGGCAGCTGGGGAACCATCAGAAAGTATGAATGGGATGGCCAAAACCCTAGGCTATTTTGAAGGCAGGCTGTCCCTGGGGTCTGAGCAGAGTGGAATCCTCTGCCCTGAGGCCTGGACATCCCACTGGGCAGGTAGGTGGCTCACGTACTTGGCCGGAGAGCAGGTAGGGAGCAGTACTGGTCCAGCCAGGCCAACGAGGTCTGACGGAGGCTCTGCAAGCTTGCCGTGGACACCATCCCGTTGAAGGACTCAAACAGAGGTCGGATGAGGATGCTGAACTGGCCCAGGTCAAGGAACAGGCCTGTTGTCCAGCCAGTATCCTCACCCACTTCACATGTAGGCCTGACATCTGGCCCAAACCAGGGGAAAGGCCTGGTGTCAGTGAAGCCTTGAACCCCAAGGACCCCCACTGCAGCCGCCCTCTCATTCTGACAAGGCCTGACCAGCTAACTGCCTCAGCTCCGCCATGGCCCTTCTTCTGGGCTGGACGATCCCACATTCCTAGGCTTCCTGCTCTGGCTCAGTCAAGAGCTTGATTAGGTAAGAGGGTAAGCAATTCCATGTCTTGCCTAGGGTCCAGCCCACTCATGCCACTCCCAAACTTCCCTTGGGACTTCCTGTGGGCCGGGCTATGGCCACCCCACCCAGGGGCTCCTCCCTCTGCTCCCAGCCCATCACTGGGCAATCCTGCTGGCCAAGATGCCAAGGCCTAGAAGGAGGAGTTGGAACTGGAGTCTCTTCCCCTGGAAGCAGCTCCGAGCCCCTGCCTGCTGAGACCCTGCAAAGCTGAGCCTGCAGCCAGGCCAGGCCAGCTGCTGGCAAAGTGAGGATACTACCCAGAACTTCCAGTTGTGCAGCGTGCGGGCCCGGACATAGTCATCAAACATGTCTCGCATCTGGTCGAAACGCTGGTGTGTGATGGGCACCCCAGTGGCCGGCAGTTGTTGCTGGCATAGGCTGGGGGCATGGAGAGAGTCAGGGGTTGAGATTCAGGTAACTGGCCCCCCTAGCCCCAGCACCTGCAGGTTTCTGCCTACTTAATGGCAGCATTGAGCTCCTCAATCTGGTCCCGTAGCTGCTGGGCCTCCTCCTGCAAGGCCGCCCGCTCCTGCTGCAGCATGGTGATGTACTCGGCCGTCTTCTGCAGTGTCGTTGCTTTGCTCACCTGTGGGCATCACCAGTGTGGGGTCAGGTGCTGGGACCCACTCAGGCCCTGGGGAGGTGGGAGGAGGCAACCAGGTATCTGGAGGGTCCTGAGGTTTGGTCTTATGTAGGGGGTTCCTGAAGAGGGGGTACCAGCCTAGGTTGGGGGCTCACCTTGAGGCTGGGCTGGGTGTTGAGCGTGCTCACCAGCCCATGCAGGGTGTCAAATCCCAACTTGATATTGAAGCGCCTCTTCTGCTCCGCAGATATGTGTGTGATGCGCCGGTTTTCAGTCTTGGGGGGGAGGAGAGGGGCAGGGACAAAAAGTGGGGTGAGCCTAGGAAGGAGTGTGGGAGGGCGTAGGGTAGCAAAGAGGTCTTAGGGTGAGGGGATAGTGCCACCTTGTCTGGACGACCCCGGCTTAGAATGGGCTGAGGCAGAGAGACTCGGACACTCAGAGTCCCTGGGCCCGGCATGGAGTTAAGCTCCCCGGACGGCCGCCGCTCACCGCCTGAGGCAGAGACAGACAGACCCACAGACAAGCCAACACAGGAAAGAAGGTCCCATTGACCTGTCCCTCTCGTCCTGGCCCCAGATATAGCCCCCCCTTCTTCCTTCCCCTCCCTCCAATCCCTGCAACCCCTCTTTACCGCTGGGTGCTGGGGGTGACAGCCGCTCTACTTTGGGGGCAATCAAGGGCCTGGGAGGGGCCAGTGTGGCCGAGCCCAGAGGTGGCCGGGGTGGTGTGGGGGCCGGAGTCGGGGGAAGGAAGGTGCAGGGGAATTCAGGGACCGTCTCCTGAAGAGAAGGGTGGAGAGTTGGGGTGAAGCTCTCAGGTAGAGAAGAATGGAAAGTTGGGGTGAAGCTCTGAGGCTCCCCTCCACTCCCAGGGTCTGCCATCTTACCCGGGATTTTGGGGGCCGCAGGAGGACGTTGGACACAAGAGGTGGCTCCAGGGCTTGCTCAGGCTTGGCTGCGTACAAGCAGACTGTGACGGTTCTCTCAGAGTTATCTCCTAAGACCCCATCTTTCCACTCCTAATAGCCCACACTCCTTTCGGGTTCAGGGTTCATGTCCTTAATTCCTCACCACCCTGTCTTCCCCAGATGAGTCTGCCGCTTAACCTTTACCCTCTGAACCCATAGGCTCCCCACTTCCACATTTGGCTCCCATCTCACCCTCTGTCAACCCTGCCCCTTCTATCTCACCTGCTGTGAGGAGCTGTGTGAGGCAAGAATTGTTGCCCCCAGCAATGGCAGGGGCCAAGGTCCGAGGGCTGGGCTTCCGCTCCCTAGGGGATGGGGTAGGGGGCTTGCCTCTGGGCTGCACACCTTGAGGCATTGTGAAGTGAGGCCCAAACAGGGGCTCTGGATACCCCGAGGATAGAAGGTCCATGGGGAAGTGAGTGGGGGCAGGGCCTGTGCCAGACTGTGGGGTAGGTGGGAAGGTTGTGGGAGCAGGCAGTGGGGAGCCTCCTGACGCAGGAGGGACTGTTGGGAAGGAGAATCTGGGAGAGAAGAGAGGCTCTTCCTGCAGCACAGCAGCGGGTGGGGCCATGGAAGGGAAGAGGGGTGGGGGACAGGGCTCCGGGCCAGGCCCTCTGGCAGGGGCAGGGTATTGGAGGAGGGGTGGGGGTGAGGGACTGGCAGGGAGTTTAGGCTTGGGGTCTTCAGGAAGGAGGAAGTCAGAGCTCAGGAAGATACTGGAGTCCAGGGAGCCAGGGCAGCTTCTCCGAGCCTGGTTGGGGGGACAGACAGAGAGCAGGGGAGAGAGCTGGCCTTTATAGCCACCCAGGCAGCCTCCTGCCCTGGCTCTGGACTGGGCACTGGGAGGCATAAGAGAAATGGTCCCTTCCCTCTGATCCACACAGCAGGGGAATTATATCTAATGAAGGTAGGGAGTGGAACACATTTAGGCATAAATGAGGCATGAGAAAGAGCATCAGTCTTCCTGACCTTTCATTCATTCATCAACTAATTTATGCATCCATTCTTCCATCCATCCATCCCCCTACCTATTTTTTTTAAATATATTTTATTGATTTTGTACAGAGAGGAAGGGAGAGAGATAGAAAGCTAGAAACATCGATGAGAGAGTCATCGATCAGCTGCCTCTTGCACACCCCCTACTGGGGATATGCCCACAACCAAGGTACATGCCCTTGACCGGAATCGAACCCAGGTCCCCTCAGTCCCCAAGCCGACGCTCTATCCACTGAGCCAAACCGGTCTCGGCCATCCCCCTACCTATTTATTCTCTCATCTCTAAGCTCTGAGTTCATCTTTTTACCAGCCCACCAGGTACTAACCTATTCACCAATCCATCCAAACATCTATGCTTCCTTCATTCATCCACCATACATTGACTAGCCATGTATCCACCCACTAGCCCATTCATTGATCCACCAAACTATTCTTTCATCTATGAATTCCTCCATCCATCCAACCAACCACTCACCTACCTATATATACACCAACTCATGTAAGTGTCTAGCCTCATCTGCAACCCATCTATCCATTCACCAATAGACCCATCCATACATACACTCATTCATTCACTCACTTGCTCCATCATTGGGCAATCATTTACCTAGAGCTGTTTGAACAGTGGTAGGTATGGAAGATGCAGTGGTGAGCACAACATAGCTCTTCCAGCAAGGAGCTCACTGTCTATTCCAGGAGAGAGACCCCTCACGAATAACTACATCAGTGCCTGAAAAGTCTAATGATGGAGGGAAAGGCATCTAACCAAGCAGCAGGGAGACAATGTCTGAATTGGGTCTGGGAGTTCTTGAGCCAAAATGGTAGTCACTGTTTCCTAGACACACATGTTCAATTTTCCTCCTCCAGGCCCTCGTTTGAGCTTCTCCTCCCATCTGACTTGCCCTCTACCGGTCTCTTCTGTCCAAACCCCAACTGTACTCTAAGGCCCCGAACTCCCCGGCCTCCTGAGAGCTTTCCACAGCAACCCAGCCCTTGGGGGTGCCTGCTCCATGCCCCTCCTGCCCTCAGCCTGACTCCCCCCAGCCATCTGGTCAGTTCTGCTTCATGAGGAGCTTTCCTCTCCCGCTGAACGGCACCCTCCCAGGATCGTTCTCCCCTCCAGTACCACCTACTGGACCAAACAAGCACAGGATTGGGCCCTCAGAAAGTATTCAGAATACCTCCTGGACATGGGCAGGTGAGCTAGGCAGGGCTGGGTGGGGTGGGTTGAACTCACCTGCTGGTGGGTATGCCCTGAGAGGAGGGTCATGCCTGAGGAGGCGGGGGGCGCCTCTGAGCCCAGGATCCCACTGCTGAAAAGGGAGTCAGCCATGGGACCGAAGCTGGGGGGCTCCAGGAAGTTTGAAGGCGTGGCAGTCTGAGGGGGGCGGTAGTTGGTGAAGAAATCTGTAATTCAGACACACAGGGTGGCGGCAGTTAGGGCTAAGGCCGTGGCAGCTGGAAGCTGTGGGAGGAGAGCGGGCCTCGTGCCCTGTCCCCAGGCTGGGCTGGGACAGGAGGGAGGGGGGCGCTTCCACAGGAGATTGTGAAACCGTGAGAGTTTCTGTCTCACTTAGGGGAAGCAGCAACATGGGCCCGGGTGGGATGGGCCCGAGTGGGAGACAGCAGGGGACTGTGTCTGCCCTGTGCCCAAAGCACCCCACTTGGCTCACGAAGCCACCCTTTCCCGTCCCCAGGGCTGGGCCTCCCTCTGTCTGCTCCTGCTACCAGCCCAGCTGGGGAACTTGATGTGGGGGAAGGTAATAGACTATGTCAGGGAGGGGAAGAGGCGAGGTCCAAGGGAGGAGCCCCAGAGTGACTCAAGTTCAAGAGGTGAATTAGGGGTAAGAAAGGTCAGGAGGTCAGTGTGTCTGGGACAAGGTCTGCTGGAAAGTCAACAAATGGGACCTCAAGAGTAGAATCCAGGAGTGGGGTGAAGGAGCTAAGGGGGGTGATAGCAGGGGTCAGAGGATGGGCTCAGAGAGGGGGCTGCAGTGAGGGGTTCTGGAAAGCCAGGAAGAACTGGGGGTCGGGGGCAGTCAGATTGTTTGAGGTGCAGATTGTGTAAGCCCCAGGCTATTCTGGTTTTGGGAAGCAGCTGCCTGTGGCCTAACCACATCCCGGGCATGGGTGCCGCCTGCCCATCCGCTCCCTTCCGGGCACCTTTCTCTGACCCTGGTCCGCTTTCAGTCTGCACCAGCTCCCAAGGCCTTCCTGTCTGGTCAGACCCGACCCCACTGGCCTTGGGCAGACCCCAGCCCCCCAGCCAAGGGAGCTAGTAAGACCTCTGCCCCGAAGGCCCCCTTAAAGGGGACCCAGGAATGAGACGGAGAAGACCACACCGAACCTTGAGCCTGATGGGCATCAATCCTGTGTGTACACATCTCTGTTGACTCTGGGACTCACATGTGACAGAGCAGCTGGCTCCGCAAATCAGTGCACGGTCTCAGGCAGCATCTGTCTCCCTCCCTGTCTGTCCCACTGTCTGTAGCTGTAAGTCTGTGTGTACCTGCCCTAATGTGAGGTGCTTGGTGTGTGCATATCTGCCCTGTGCCCGTGTGTGTGTGTGTGTGTGTGTGTGTGTGTGTGTGTGTTTTCGTGGCCCCACAGTCATAAGAGGTATTCTTACTGAACTGCCGCCTCCTTTCAATGAATGACTAGGGGGCAAAGGGTGAGCAATCCCTGGTCCTCCATTCCCCTATGGCCTATAGGTCTCCTCGCTTCACCCCTTGAAGCCTGGGCTCTAGAGCCAGCCTTGACCTGGGCCTGGCTCCAGGATGCTGAGGGCCACGGAGCAGCCCCTGCACCATGCTGTCGCTGTCTCCACAGGGCTCGGCAGGCCTCATGGAGCTGCGAGCCCAACTCATCACTGAGTCACCACCACCCCCTTATCTGAGATTGTGGGCATGTCCCCACCCAGCCTCGAGAGAAGCTGCTTGCTAGCCCTAGCCACCTACTAGGTCCCTCCCTAGCCTCGGTTCCCTCCACTGACCCACCGTCCTCTCTCTGAGCCCCTCTCTCATCCAAGCTCCCTTTTCTTCCCTGAGCACCCCTCACCAAGCCCCTTCCCCTCACTGAACCCGCCCCTCACCAGCCCCCTCCAGGGAGGAGCTCTTGGGGACAATCACAGCGGCAGCCATGGTAGCCCCAGTGCTCCTTGCCTTCCAAGCGCACGGAGCGCTGGAGGGGGCCACATAGCCACCGCTTCTGCGTGACACCCCTTACCACAGGCCACCCATACTTGCTCCCCATCCCCACCCCGGTAGCCACCCTAGGCTGAGAGAAGTCATTTACTGGCCCCAGGTTTTGCCCAGATCCCAGGGTAGGGGCAGTTGAGCGCCTACCTGTGGCAGGGGTCTGTGTGCCCAGACAGGGCGGCTGCCCTCCCTGGCTGGTCTGCTCCCAGGGCACTGCCATCAACACTTCTGCCCCCACCTCTGTCCAGATCTGAGGCAGGGGTGGGGGTGGTTCCTCATTCCCTAGTCCCCGCCCCATAGGCCTCCACCTCTTGACTGATAGGCCAGGGACCCCGTGGGGAAGGCGGGAAGGGGGTCACCGAAGCTAAGTCTTTATCCCAGGAGTGCCCTTTCTGCCCCCTAGGCCTTGGCTGAGACCCGATGTCTACGTGACCACTAACTGGCTATGAAGGCACCTCAATGTCTGAATCTCAGGGGTGGTCTCCAGGATCCATAGCTAAGTGAAGAAAAGCAATGTGAGGAAGAGTCTATTGTGGGTGCTCATTTTATAGAGATACAGCATCTCTGGAAGGACATACTTTTGTGACCTGGTGGCCCTGGGGTTCGGGGGGGGGTGGGCGGGGAAACATACAACTTAAAAAAAAAAATGCTTTACCAGCCAAGACTGGTTTGGCTCAATGGATAGAGCGTCGGCTTGGGGACTGAAGGGTCCCGGGTTCTATTCCGGTCAAGGGCATGTACCTTGGTTGCGGGCATATCCCCAGTGGGGGGTGTGTGCAAGAGGCAGCTGATCGATGACACTCTCTCATCGATGTTTCTAACTCTCTCTCTCTCTTCCTCTCTGTACAAAATCAATAAAATATATATATATATATATATATTTTAAATGCTTTACCAGATATAATCCCTGAAATTTCCTTCAAAATAGCATGGAAGGAGAGAAGTGGGAGAGGTCTAGATAATAAGACTGACCAAGAGCTGATAAATGTTGAAATCAGTGATCGTTGCATGAGGGTTTATCGAACGCTCTGTTTGTGTGTTTGAAATGTTCTTTAATAAATAGTTGTGTTTTTTTAAACGAATGATGTAAATAAATAGATTCAAACAGATACAGTCCCTTCTCTCCCCTGAGAGAGTCCCAGCATCCACCGCTTTCCTGGCAGCTCCCAGAGGCTGAAGCTTCAATGACCCTGGTCCCCTGATCCCTACCGAGGTCTGGCCCTGCTCTCACCTAAACCACACCAGCTTCGCCCCAAGGCCGGACAAAGGGACACCAGGAAAATCTTTCAGAAGTCACTCAGACCGTCTGCCCTCCTGGAGGGGCATAGAACCGGCCTGAGGTCAACCCGGGGCTCTCCTGCACTGACCCTGCCCGCCCAGCCCAGGGGAGGGGCGTGCCCCACCTGAGGTCTCCATGAAGTCATCCAGGCTGGGCTGCAGAGGCGTCAGTTCCGGCTGGATCATGTCAGCATTGCCCACGTAGGCTGCAGGGGGCAGTGGCGATGTCAGGAGCAGCAGGCAGGGTGGAGTGGGGACAGCTGTCCCCGGCCACCCTCCCTGCTGCCTGGATTCTCACAGGCCTCCTCTCCAGGGGACAGGCCCTCACCGTCCTCAGGGGGCAGCTGCAGGGGCGTGGGGCTGGGCTGGGTCATGGTGAAGAGTGTGTCCGAGATGTCAGACAAAAAGCAGTCGAGGTCCAGCAGCTGCCGCCCGCCGGGGTCCTCCTCGGGGCCCCCCAGCAGCACGGGCACCACGCTGGAGAAGAGCTGCTCGCACCATCGCTCTGGTGGCGGCCATCCCCCCTCCACCTGGGGAGACAGAGCCAGCGGTAGCAGCCTGAGGGCTCCATGGCTCCTCCTCCTCCCTAGACTGGGGACACAGGGGTCTCCCACTTCCCCCGGCCCTTCCATATCGCCCCCTGCCTGGGGGATGTCAGTCAGCCAGCCAGCCAGACGGCCTCTCTCTGCACAGTCCTCACCTCTTCCTGGTGGGCCCAGTTGACTGCCTGGAAGACCAGGGTCACCCCCTTGGCCTCTAACAACTGCCCATAGGAGCTAGATGGGGAGATATGGGTACCACCTCCTGCCTCCTATACTTGTTCCTGCCAGGGATCGTAGAGTAGTTTTTAGGACCCTGTATTCCCCCGTGCCTCCCCACCACTTGCTCAGTCAAACAGAGCCTTAGGGTCTTCCCACCACTGCTGCCAGGTGAGGAGGGCTCAATTAACCAGCCAGAGGACAGAGGCCATGCCTTAATGTTTAGAATCTTCCCTCATGTTCCACCCTCACACCTACCACTTCGCCACTGCCCTGCCCACCCAGAGGGGCGCTGTCTATTCTCTGGGTCCAGGGAACACCCACCTGTTTTGGGGCCAGGAGGTCCCCTTCTCTGCTGGACTTACGGAGCTGCAGGAATACACAGACGCGAACCCTGGATTCCTTGCCCCTCCTCCATCACTCCCAGCCAAGGCCTCCTCTACTCAGAAGCGCCACCAAATCAAAGGGACCCCCACTTCCCTTCAGGAGCTCCTCCTCCCGGGGAAGTAAGGAGGCTGCGAGAAGATCCTAAGGCCACACGGTGGCGCTGTCAGGCTGGGTCTTAGCGGAGGGCGGGGGCTCCTCCGTGGGCTCTTCCAAGAGCAGCAGAGGCCAGCACCGGCCTTCCCCCGGGGTCCCCCACTGACCCGTTTCTTGTAGTAGATGCGCCACTTGTGGTACTCGCGCATCACCACCTCGATGCGCCGCTTCCAGTAGTTTCCTTCCAGGACCACAGCCTGGGGAAGACCGGGAGGGGGCTCAGAGAGAGGGGAGCACTGATCTCACCCCTCACCCAATCCCCTTCTGTTGGCCCCTCCCGCCCAGTGCAGCGGGGGTCCGAGGGAGGGGCCGGGTTTGGGGAGGAGGCCGGTGGGCGGTGGTCCCCCTCAGTCTCACCTACCTCCGGTTTCCGATGCGCATCAGCCTCAGGCCCCTGCAGGGGAGTCACAAAGCCACAAACGGGGCTCTTCCTCCTCTCCACATCTAAAGAAGGGGGCCTGGTCAGGGATGCTCAGCTCCCTTAGCGTTCACCCTCCCCAGAAGACTGGGACTGAGGTGCACCCTTAAAAATGCTGCCTGGCCTTGGAGGTTCAGATTAAGTGTCACCTCCTCTAGGAAGCCTTCTTGCCTTCTTCTCTAGCAGGACCTCATCTCCCTCTTCTGTGCACCCTCTGAAACGAACCCAACCCAGGAGGTGTGAAAGCAATGCTGGCTGAACGGGATTGGGCCCACAGGGAGCGAGGGAGCTGCCTCAAGAACATCCCGGTCAGATTGGCCTCTAGAACATCCCGGTCAGATTGGCAGGCCAAGGGCCCTGAGCCCTTGGCCCTTGCCTCAGGCTCCTTGGCACAGCCCAATGTGATCTCAGAGAACCACTCCAGGCCACCTACCCAAGCCCCCTTTTCACCTCCTCCACTCCCTTCCCGATCTCCAATGCTGATCTCTCTCCTTTTCCTTGTGCCCCTAAACACATTCCAGGTTCTCCTTTACCTCCCAGACTTTTCCTTCCCTATGCTACCCAACAAGCTAACCCCTTTGCTTCCCGCTTCACTCCTTTGCTTTCTCTTCAAACTCTAGAACAAGCATGTCACTTGCCACCTCCACTTCTGTACCTCCCAGTCTCATCGTCACCTCTGTTCTCAGCATCTGCCCCCAAGGCCACCTCCCAGCCACGCTCATCCTGCCCCTTTCCAGCCAGCTTCAGACCCATTCCCCAGTTGCTAGGGACCCTACACTAGAATGTCCCAAAACGTGTCCTCTCAGATGTCTGGGACATTCCCTTTCCAGCCTCCTCTGGACTGCCAGCACCTACTCCCAGTTCCTGTTTAATCCATGGACTAGCCGTCTCAATCCTGAGGATGTGTGACATTTCTTCCAGTGTCCCTTCCCCCCTCCCCGCACTCTCACGGTAACCGGCTGGTCTGTTGTCATTTCTCATCCAGACCTCTCTGACTCCAGTCTCACACTCTGGCCCACTTCCTGCTGCGGCCAGGTCAATTCTTCCTACAGTGCGGTCAGGCCTGGACCTCTCCAGGGTTCCCTAAACCTCCACAGGGAAGTCCACACCCCTGAGTGGCTTCCAAACCCTCCAGGTCTAGCTCCACTGCTTTTCCGGCCTTTCTGTCTCCTTAATGCCCCACCTGGAAGCCAGGCAGCTCCTCCCTGCTCCCCCCACCAGACTACCCTCTGTGTTTTTTTTGTGTGTTTTTTTGTGTTTTTTTTTAAAATATATTTTATTGATTTTTTACAGGAGAGAGGAAGAGAGAGGGATAGAGAGCTAGAAACATCAATGAGAGAGAAACATTGACCAGCTGCCTCCTGCACACCCCCTACTGGTGATGTGCCCGCAACCAAGGCACATGCCCTTGATCGGAATCGAACCCAGGACCTTTCATTCCGCATGCCGACGCTCTATTCACTGAGCCAAACTGGCTTCAGCTAACCTCTGTTTTTATTCTACATGGAAAGCCCCTCCCTTGATTGCCCAGAGCAGCTCCCCTTCCAAAAAACCTGTCCTTCTCTGAACCTCTCTGGTTAGGCCTGCCTTCATCTTCACCTGCCTCAGCCATTTCTCTGAATGCCGGCCTCGCCGCTGGGAGTGCAGGCAGGAGCTGTGCCCTTTAGCCCAGAATCCCTGCCTCTGACACAGAGGTTGGCACACAGAAGGACTTCAAAACCCTGAGCAGTGACTTTTTCTGATATTCTTGACACCAAGGACTTCAGGGGTGTCCGTGGGGGCCCATCTGCCGAAGCCCTGAGTGAAGTGCCTCTGGGACTATTGACACAGAGGAGGGGGAGCACCTGAACATGACATTTCTTGGGACAGTCAACAAAGTTCTGACTCAAAGGACATTCTCTAAAATGAGATCCCTATGAGACTGAGGAGGATTGCTGAGCCTGCTTGGACAGAAGACAAAGGGAAAGCCCTTAGGTATGTGGACTCCAGGGGCATAAGGGTCTCAAAAAGCACCTGTCCCTGGCTTTCCAGATGAGGAAATGAGCAGGAGAAAAGAGTAAGTTTGCCCAGGGCTCCCAGAGTCAGGGCTGAGCAGGCCAGGCCTACTCTCTCCTCCCCCACCCAGGGACACTGTGCTCTGGACAAAAGGGCAGTGACCTGGAGGTGGGGCAGGCTTTATTTAACAATGAGAAACTCATCCATTCATGCAGCAGCCTAGCCCCTGCACCTATGCTGGGAAAACAGCTGGGTCTGAATCCAGGGCTGACACAGGGAGCTCACAGCTTGGTGGTCGAGAGGAGGAAAGCACACATATAACATGAGCTGATGCCAGGTGGAGGTTCTGCCCGTGACAGGGGCACAGTGCTCTGGGAGTTCAGAGGGAATTGAGATGAGTCTGGGGAAAGGAAGCGGTTCTGGAGGCCAGGAGCCTGCAGAGGGGTGTGGCAGGTGCCTGGGGGATGAGCCGGGCAGCCCTCCAGCAGTCATTTCCCCCCTCGTTTTCTGAAGCTCACCCCCAAATCTCTGGTGCTCAGGGAGGAGGGAGAGCCCTGACATTTATTCTCTGCCTGTCTATGCTCTTGCTGTTATCACAGCAATAGAGATAGACCCCAGGGTTTGCTCTCAGGGAGCCCGTGTGTGTGACTGCCTGGTGCTGAGATGTGATCACACTGAAAACTCACAGCAGACCTCAGCAGGAAGACCTACTATCATACCTGCCTTATAGATGAGCAAGCTTCGGCGAGGGGAGGCTGGGGACTTTACAAAGTTCACATAGCGGGGCATACTAGAACTTGACTCAAACCCACCTTCGCATGACTCAGAACTTGGGGTCCTTCTAACAACTTGTTCAACAGCTGGAGACCACAGTCTGTCTGGGTGAGGAACCTGGGTTTGCACCCCATCCAGCTTTGTAGAAAAGGGGAGACAGATAGGGATACTGATTCCCCTGGTCCAATAGTCGGCAAACACATTAGTCAACAGAGCCAAATACCAACAGTACAACGATTGAAATTTCTTTTGAGAGCCGAAAACCGATTCCTGTGCATGGGCCACAAAGTTTCAATCACACTGTAGGTGCGTACCGGCATGTGGTATTTTGTGGACGAGCCACACTCAAGAGGCCAAAGAGCCGAATGTGGCTTGCGAGCCGCAGTTTGCCGACCACTGCCCTGGCCTACAGCTCCCTGGTTTGGTCAGGCCCATTCTCAGGTGAGGTCTGAAAGCCAGCCAGCAGGATTCAATAAAAGGAGCACTGGGCTCTGAGTTGGAGAGCCCTGGACTTCCCAGCTCTGCTACTTTTATGCTCCTTGGCCAGATCAAGTCACTTGCATTTTGGGCCTCACGTGCTCATGTATAAAATGGGGGTAATAATACTCATCTCTCAGGGATGCTAGGAAGCCTCAGTTAAGATGATTTAGGAAAGTGCTGGGCACACAGATGAATAATAACCCAAAACACACACTCTCTCTATTTAGGTGGGATCTCGTGGGGCCAGTACAGAGAATACTGGTTCCTCCTGGGCTATGTGTTCCCAGCTCAGCACAGCCTTTGAGCCTGCAGCAGGACCTACCTAAGCTGGACAAGGTCCTGGCACGGGGCCAACTAGTCTGATAGTTCTCAGCCTCTGCTGTCCTGCCAGAGGGAAGGAGAAGAGGTCTGGTATCCCTAAATGAATGACTATGATCTCAAGGGGACCTCAGTTTCAACCATCATTTACTGAGCACTTTGTGCCAGGCTTGTTCATACCCATTATTCCCACACCAACCATGAAAAGTAGGGCTATTGGCCTCATTTTAGAAATGAGGAAATAGGTTCAGAGAGCCTAGACAACTTGCCTGCAGTCACACAGCCAGCAAGTGACAAGAACAGGATGGGAAACCAGCTCTGAGTAACTCTGGAGTTCTTCCGCTCTACCATGTGGCCTCTCAGGGCCCCATCCCCCCAAATCTCATGGGGTCACTTGGTGAGAGTTCAGTAAGGACTTTAGTGAAAGGCTGGAAGAGAGCCATGCAGGAGGCTTTGCAAAGTGATGGAATTGGCCCAGACAGTGTCTAATACTTCTTTCTAACCTGGCATTTGAAGCACTTGGCTACACTACCGGGATGCAGAATGAGTCTTGAACGGTTTCCCAAATCTCAGGCCAACTTAGGACTTCCAGGGGTGACTTCCGTTGTGCCCAACACTACAATGGAGAGCACTCTCAGAGGGTCACTCGCCAAGACTCTCTGGGGGTCAGAAGCTGTTCAGGGGTGCTTGTGCTGACACTCCCCAAAACACTCTGTTGGTGCAAGCTGGGATTCCTGGGTAGCCATTTCCCACCCCCAATGCCCTCCCACAGCTCTTGGGCTGGGGTGGCCCATGGTACCCACTCACACTGGATATACCAGGCTCTCCAGATGGCGTTGTTGAGGCGGATCTTGTCTCGGCAGAGCAGCTTGAGACCTTTGAAATTCTTCCACTTGGGAGACACCAGCTTACCACTGTCAGAGGGAGAGGGCTGGGTTAGGGCTGAGGGTGGGGAAAGGGACTTCTGCAGAGGCTGGCTCTACACAAGCACTAGGCACTCATCTATGGAGGGCAATCTGAGAGACCCACTCACATCCTGCCCCTCACTGTAACCTGCCTAAAATTCCTACCTTGAAAGTCAGGCTTTAAAATACCCTCTCAGCCCTAACCAGTTTGGATCAGAGGATAGAGCCCACGGACTGAGGGGCCCCAGGTTCAATGGAGAGCACTCAGGACAGCTCCCTGGAGGTGGCAAACTTGGCCTGTGCCCAGAGGACCCTGAGAGGCAAGCTCCTCATCTGTGTTGAACCTTTTCATCTCATGAATGTAATTGACCGCTAGGGTTAGGTTTAGGGTCAGGATGCTGCCGACCCTGGGGTGTGTGAGGGAGGCAACCGATTGATGGGTCTTTTTCACATCAACATTTCTCTGTTTCTCCCCCTCCTTTCCACTCTGAAAATCAATGAAAACATATCCTCAGGTGAAGATTAACAAAAAAAGTAATAAAATACCCTCCCAGCTCCCCACTAGGGGACCTTGTGTTCTTTGTGAGATCTGCTTGTTAACCTGCTACCAGAACTAGAGCCAGGACTGGAGCCTGCTTATCAGCTTAATCTTCATAATACTATCCAGTGGCCTTACAAGCAACTGTCTTGTAGGCCAGCTAGATACAGTTGTTACTGAAGGGAACTGAGGATCAGGAAGGGAGAGGGACATGCCCAAGTATTGATATATGGCAGAGACTCACCCAGACCCTGTGGTGTTTTCTTTCTTTCTTTCTTTCTTTCTTTTTTTCTTTCTTTCTTTCTTTCTTTCTTTCTTTCTTTCTTTCTTTCTTTCTTTCTTTCTCTCTCTCTCTCTCTCTCTCTCTCTCTCTCTCTCTCTCTCTCTCTCTTTCTTTCTTTTTTCTTTTTTTTTTTTTTTTTTTTTTTTACCAGTCTTGCTGGCTCCCTAGGTCAAGGGGATGGGTAAGGTTTGTCTGGCGAGGAGAGGAAGCCTCTCCACCAGAGGTAGCCTCCAAGCAGCCAGCCACTGCCTTTTCATTGCCCTCCTGGTATCTGCCCAGCCCCAAATCCTAGAATGGCAATCTGGACTGAGCTGGAAGGTATGCCCCTTCTCAGGGGTGTGCCCAAGACAATACCAATCCGATCCAAAGGAAGGCATCTAGAATGATGGAGTGCTGAGCAGCGAGGAGGCAGCATCTGACCCTAAACCTAACCCTAGCGGTCAATTACATTCATGAAGTGAAAAGGCTCAACACAGACGAGGAGCTTGCCTCTCAGGGTCCTCTGGGCACAGGCCAAGTTTGCCACCTCCAGGGAGCTGACCTAGGAGGTCAAGATGTTCAGGGTTTTAGACCCCTGCTCGTCCCCTGCCTCCTCATGGTCCACAAGCCAGGATTGTATACCAGTCCCTTCTGGCCCACCTTATCCAACCCTTTTCCACACAGAAGGCTGAGGCCTCAAGGCTTAGTCTTCCAGAACACCAGGCCTGCTCTGTCGAGGGGCCTCGCTCTAATCCAGGGGGTAAGGTACAGGTGGGTGGCAGTCTCACTCCTGCAGCCCCTTAGGTGCACAGGTCTCTGGCTCTCCTCCCCTCTCTGGTCTCCAGGCTCCTGTGTTTACTTTGGAATAGGGAGAGGGGTGAACTGCCACCCTAGGGCACATCAGGCCTCATTACCCAAAGAGAGTACATAACCCAGGCACACAGGCCCGCCGGCTGGCCCCCCGCCCTCCTAAGTTAGATAAACACCATCTGTCCGGAGAAATGGGAGAGCACTCAGACACCTCTTAGGCCAGCTTCTTTTGTGGCACCTGGAGGGTTGTGGGGGCCTCCTAAGCTTATTGCCCCTGCCTGTATCCCAGCAACCTCCCATGGGGCCCACTCTGGTCACCCAGTGCCCACCTCCAGCCTGCCTGCCTTTCCTTCAGTGTTTCCCAAACTTTTGACATATGTGTACCCCTTCTATAATTTTCGTAACACTGAGTACCCCTCGTACTCATGAGAATGTAGAATTAGGCGCAGCTAAGCAAGGTGCAGTGCATATCCCCACCAAACTCCGGTGCAACGTGTACCCCCACCAAACTCTTCCCGTACCCCTGGGGGCACGCATACCGCACTTTGGGAAACACTGCTAGGGTATAGTGTTGTGGCCAGGTAAGGCTAGAGGAGAGGATTCAATGACAGCATCTAAGCCCAGGAGGAAAGTCTGTGATGAACTTGTTGGTTCCGGGGTAGGGGGTGGTGGTGGGCAGCAACCTGAAGCAAAAAGCCTGAAGCCAGGGTTCAAGGATTTCTTAAGACCAGGAGAAAATCTGGAAAGCTTGGGGATGGGATGGGGAACAGAACTCCTAGTTCAGTTCCCCATACTCCCACACATGGTCTCCCGGACAGGGTCCTGCTTGCTCCCCCATTTCCCTGAGGCCATTCTTTCCATGGCTCTGACCATGGACAAAGTGTATGCTTAGGACTCCCAGGACCTGCCTCCCTGGATTTCCACCCAAAGAACCATGGAACATGGGGCTCCTCCTGGAAGAGTCCTTTCTCCGCCCACCTGCCCATCTGAGGTGAAAGCTGGCCAGGCTCCCACAGGCTCTCCTTCAGGCCCAGCTGGCCAGTCCCTCCCAACACCTCTGGACCCATTACCTCGCTGTCCCTTCCCATCCACCCACTCTCTTGGGACACCATAGACTCTAGGGCCTAGAGATTGCTTCCCCAATTCTCTCCCTCCAGGGAGCCCCAATAATGAGGGGTCTAAAGGGCTAAAACACAATCTCAAGCTGAGCCTCAGTGTTGTTGTTTTTTCTCTCTCTACCAAATGGGGGAACCCAAAGGCTCCGCTTCCATCCCTGGAGCATAAGGCCAACCAGGGCAGCCTGAGACAGTGAGTCTCCTGGTTGTTTAGGGAGAAAGCACAGCTCTCTCTCTCCATCCCAGCTGGCCCTGACTGGAGTCACACCAGCTTCCAGTCAGCCTCTCAGTGGGGGCAGTTCTTAAAATGTGCTCTGCCTCCTACCTTGCCACCTTCTCCGAACCTCCCCCTTTTGGTCACCCATGGTCTGGGGTTAGGGGTGGGTGTTAGCCAGCCCAGACAGAGAGAGAGGTGTGTGTAATATAACCCGGGAAGCTGAAGTTAAGAATGGGTGAGAAGTGGGGGGGCCCTGAGGGAGGAGGGGTGCCGGCACCTGGTGTACTAGGACCTTAGATGGCCTGCCCAGGCCGGGTGTGATACGAGGGTGGGGGTAGGAGGGGTGGGGGGAGGGATGGGAATTTGAACTTTCCACATTGGTCTGGCGCCTGAGACGGTCAGGTTGCAACATGACCCGGGCCCGGGGCCAGAGCTTGAGGGCCAAGGTTACAACGCCTCCAGCCAATGGGGTCGCGGCTGCGGGGCAGCTGTTGGGAGTGGGCAACACTCCCCCGCAATTCCCACCTCAGCTCGGGCTCTGGCTTCGGCTCCGGGTCGGAGCAGCCAGTGCCGATCGGTAGACAACCGTTCTCTGAAGGGGAGGAGTGTCTCGGAGGAAGCGGAATCTTTGCAGAGAAAAGATCAAAGCCGGCCGCCCCCGCCCCTCCTTCATCCCGTACGGTTTTCGGTTGATAATTTATCCTGGCCTCTCAGCTCCCGGGAACTTTGCTCTGGGGCACCGGGCCAGGACCGGGGTTCGCGCCCTCCCCTGGGACGCGGGCATGGCGCTGGAGCTGGGCGGCCCGCGCGCTCTGATCTGGGCAGGATTAGGCGCTCCGCCTCCAAGAGACCGGGAAGGCGAGCCCAGGCCTCCCGGAACCAGCCCCTCCGGCTCGCCGCACCCCCTGCCCGGAGGAGACAGCGGGGCACCTTTGCGAGCTGCGCCCACCCGTGGGCACCCTCTCCAGCCACCCTCTCCAGCCTGGGGCACCCTCTCCAGCCACCCTCTCCAGCCTGGGGCACCCTCTCCAGCAACCCTCTCCAGCATGGGGCACCCCCTCCAGCCACCCTCGACCCGGCAGATCAAAAACAGGTGCCCCAGCAATTGGGGTGGGGGCTGTGCAGGATGAGAGACTGGGTTTCGATCGACAATTGGCTATGGATTGGGACATCCGCGGACGCCAGGCGCACGGCGAGGGCGCAGGAATAGAGTGGGTGTGGGCCAGGGCTGCAGGTGGTCGCGTGGAGGGGCCCCCGGGTGGAGGGTGGGAGTGGCAGGATGGCCTAGGACCCCAGGAGCGCGAGGGAGTGTCTGGCGGATCTTTGGGGATGGGGATGGAGAGAGGAGCGGGCATGGGGAGGGGGCCGCGGTGGAGGTCTGCGCCCTGGGCAGAGCGCTGGTGCTGAGGATGGGAACCTGGAAACCGGCAGGCGCGCAGGCCCGATTGGGATCAGCAGGCTGGGCCAGGGTCCGAGGACGCTCGCGGGCGGGCGCGGGGAGAGGGTGTCCAGGAGGTGGCCGGAGTCTCCGAGGGCAGGGCAGTCGGGGACCAGGGCGCGGAACCGGGCCGGGTGTCCGGGGCCTCGGCGCGCGGTCCCGCCTGGAGGGCCGGGGCCGTCGGGTCCCGGCGCCGCCCTCACCTGTAGGCCAGGCTCATGCACTCGAAGAGGCGGGTGAGTGTGGGGTCGATGCTGCGCGGCCCGAAGTCGGCGAGCGCCACGGGCCCCTCCCGGGCCCGCCGCCGGGGCAGCGAGTCGCTGTGCGGCGACGACACCATGAAGTGGCCGCTGTGGATGACCTGCGAGCGGAGCAGCCCGCCCGCGCCGCGGCGGGCGCCCGGGTCCTCCGAGTCCGTGTCTGAGTCCGAGTCCGCGCCGGGCACCGTCCGGGGGCCCTGCAGCCCCGCGGCCAGGCCCGCCAGTGCCCCGGCCGTGGCCATGGCGGCGCTCCCCGGCCCGGGCCCGCTGCAGCCGCCCGGGAGGCTGCGGGCCGGCAGCCCTCATTAGCATCGCCCGGCCCCCGGGTCCCCGTAGGTGGCTCCGCGGGGCGGGGCCGCAGGGCTCCGGGCGGGGCTTACATTAATATAAAACACCACGTAGGTGCTCCTGAGGCTACAATTTGGAGCAGGAGGAGGTCCCTGTCTTCCCAAAAGCCTTTCCTCCGCAGTGACCATGCAGAGCCTTGGCAGAAGCGCCCCTGCTTCACCCAAAGTGGGTTTCCAGCCATGCACTCCTGATCCTGAAAGCACCCTCAGCGCCTGGGGTTCCAGCTTCTAGGGACGGCTTCCCATGCAGCCCCTCACCTAACGACAACCCCCCTGACCTCTGATCTCCCAGCTGACAGTCACCCCCTCTCCGCCATCCACACAGCTGGACGCACCCACCGCTCAGAAGGCTTGTGTGGCCTGGTCCGTCCACTGGAAGGTCTCAGGCCCCCCAGCTGACATTTTGGTCATCACTGCACCCGCACAGAGCCCCAGAGGGTATGTGAATCCTTGTCACCCTCCCCTGGATATCCCCCAGGCAGGCCATCTCCTCCCACCCACTTTGAGGTCCAGCTTATGTTCCTGTTTCTGAAGTTGCTCTCTCACCCTGAGGATGTAAACCGGGATGTTTGGCCTCAGGCATTCACACCTGTCACCTCTCTGGCACCTTTAACAATCCTTCGAGGTGGGGTTCTTGCCCCACTTTCTTAGGGCACCAGACTCCACAGGAGTGGAAAACCCCCCAAGTACTTGCAGAGGAACAGCAACACAGCCTGGTCTCAAAGAATTCCAGATTTCCCACCCAGGGCGATCCCTGGTGGGGAGCAGGGGTAGGCTGGAGGCAAATGCTAACCCGTTTTGGTTTTTGACAAATACGTGGCTTACATGCGGTTACATAAATAAGGTGGCTTCTTCCATGGCAGGGTCCCAAAGCTCCCACGATCAAATGACAGTGCCCCTGGCCTGGCTGAAATTGTTACTGAAAGCTGCTCACACACCAGCCCTTCCACCCACCTAAGTCCCTTGGCTGGGTACCCTCTGTCCCTGTCCCTGCCAAACAGTCACCTCATGTTCCCGGGAGCCCCAGCTGCTCTCCTCCGCTGGTTCCCTGCAGTTCCCTGTGGGAGGTGCCTTCTCCCTGCACATCCCTATCAAATTCTGGAGGCCTCGGGTACCAACCTCAGCCTGCCTCCTCTGGGGGGAGAGCCATCCCTCAGAGGCCCTTTTGGGATCCTTGGCACAGAGTCCCACAGGGTCATCCTTATGCTTTATGCGCCTCTCTGGCTTCTTCCCTGACCAGAGGGCCATGAGGCAGGACTGTGTCCCAGGGTCTCTGAACCCCCACACGGGGTACCCAGGGACTTGGGAAAAGCTTGGAGCAGGCCCTGATGCTAAAGAGGAGCTGGTGGCCTCTGTGGGATGTCAGGGGTAGGAAGCAGGGCCCCTTGGAATCTTCTAGCTTCAGGGGTTCTGGCTTAAGCAGAGACCTGAAATGATCCTTACTCCACCCATAATGTTATGAATGAACCTGGGGGCAAATCTCTGTCTTACTCAAGGTTGCTCAAAGACCGGCTCTTCCATCCACCTATGGCTCCATATCTCCATTTATAAAATGCGAAGTTGAATTCAGTGACTTCTCAGGGTCCTACAATGTTCACTACCTCTGGTTCTAAGTCTCTGCTATCGACAGCCCCAGTTCACTCCACTGTGCTCCACCAGGCCTCCTGTCTCCAGGAGAAAATGTCCCAGTTGAATTCTCCTTCCTTTCAAGAGACCGTCCCTCACCCTAAGCTCCTCCCCTTCTAAGCCACCAGTTGGCCCCTAACAGGCATCTGCACCCCATTTCTGCCCTCCTCGGCCTGATAGCACCTTTGGAGGCTTAAGAACTGAAAAGACAATCCTCCTGGTGTAAAAACACTGAACTGTACAATATGTGCAGTGAAGTTCACAAATTCTGATGTCTCTTATGACTACATCTTCAATTAAAATTACATATATACTCTCACTCCCCCCAACACTGCTGGGGCTTTGAGTGTGAGCTTCATCTGCCTTGGCCAGCCTCCCCAACCATCTGTTGGGCCATTTAAGGAAGCGTGCACTCCTCAGCCCAGGCACTGTATTTCAACACTTTGAGCCATCATCTCTAACCCCACTGCAGTAAGTAATATCGCTTCCATTTCACAGGTGAAGAAGCAGGCTCATAGAGGGATTCACTTGCTCCCCTACTGAGCAAGGGCAGAACCAGGCCTGACTCTGAGGTCCAGCCTCCTTCACCCAGGAGGCTGTGGCCCTCTCCTCTTAAAAATGGTTCTGGCCACAGTGCAACTGGAGAAGTCAAACCAGCTGGTAGCACCAGGGCCCTGGCATGCCTGGCAGTGGGCACAGCTGGTTCAGGGTGTTCTTCCCAGATGACAGCACAGGCTTGTATGAGCTGACCCCACTCACCCTCTTCCTCCATTCCCCATTTGGCCTCTATCTCCCTCTGCTCGGTGTTTACAGCTTATCACTACACGGGAGTCTCATTCAGGGTCCCGAAGGTGCAGGACAAAATCCTTGTCTCAGTGATCCCACCTGACACCATACCCTGCCTGTCTCTAAGACTTTTTTTTTTTTAATTCTCACCTGAGGGTGGTGTTTTTTGTTTGTTTTTTTTAAATATACTTTATTGATTTTTTACAGAGAGGAAGGGAGAGAGATAGAGAGCTAGAAAAGTCAATGAGAGAGAAACATCGATCAGCTGCCTCCTGCACACCCCCTACCGGGGATGTGCCTGCAACCAACGTACATGCCCCTGACTGGAATCGAACCTGGGACCTTTCAGTCCGCAGATCGACGCTCTACCACTGAGCCAAACCGGTTTCGGCTTTTTTTTTTTTTTTTTTTTTAATTGATTTTAGAGAGAGAGAGAGGAAGGGAGAGAGAAACAGGGATGGGTTTCCTTCCATACAAGTCCTGAATGGGGATTGAACTCACAACCTAGGTATATGCCTTGATTAGGAATCTGACCTGCAAGCTTTTGGTATATGGGACAACACTCCAACCAACAGAGCTACCCAGCCAGGGCTGTCTCCCAGTCTTAGTTCAGGGATTTGTCCCCCAGACTGCTCCTCCATGTCAGGAAATCTCAACCATCACAACCCTTGTTCAAATACAACTCTAATTTCATCCCACTCAGCGTTCACCATGAGTGGTGCACATACCTCTCTTTCCACTAGATGGCAAATTCCCTGTACATGAAAATCACACCTGTTTCTCTCTACAGACCCTTTCCCTCTCAAGTGCAAGTGAATATTTGTGGAATGAATGAGTTTACATTATATCTATTTACTAAGTTGCTCTATCTATCCATACACACCCACACACAGATAACGTTTATTATAACATGTATAATATGTGTCAGTCCCAGTACAAGGTATTTTACTTTTGCAAAAGTTAAGAAATATTCAGGCCCTAACTGGTTTGGCTCAGTGGATAGAGTGTCTGCCAGTGGACTGAGGGGTCCTGGGTTCGATTCCTGTCAGGGGCACGTACCTTGGTTGCAGGTATTTCCCCAGTGGGGGGCGTGTAGGAGGCAGCTGATGGATGTTTCTAACTGTCTATCCCTCTTCCTTCCTCTCTGTAAATCAATAAATAAAATATATATTTAAAAGAAATATCCAGAACTTTAAAAATCCATAGTGATAAGTAGTAGATTAGCAGTTGCCGGGGGGGGGGTTGGGAGTAGTTGGGTGTGAAGAAATGGGGATTGACTGCTAATGGGTATGGAGTTTCTTTTATGGTGATGAAAATGTTGTGGGAGTAGATAGTGGTGATAGTTGCACAACTTTGTGGATATATTAAGAGCGGCTGAAAAGGTATTTATTTTATATGTGTATTATATCTTAGAAAAAATAGTACTTTATTTTTTAAAAATATATTTTTATTGACTTCAGACTGGAAGGAAGAGAGAGAGATAGAAACATCAATGATGAGAGATAATCTTGGGTTGGGGATTGAGCCCACAACCCGGGCACGTGCCCTGACCGGGAATCAAACCGGGACCTCCTCATTCATAGGTTGATGCCCAACCACCGAGCCATGACAGTCGGGCAAAAATAGCACTTTAATACGCAATTCCAATTGTTGATAATCTTCTCAACTGTGTATGTATGCATCTGGGTATTCGTATTTTTATCACCATTTTACAGAAGGAAAAACTGAGGCTCTGAGAGGTGAAGTGATACAATAGGTTGTTGTGGGAATTAACTCTAAGTAGCTAATACTTATGGGGCTTAACATAAATGGTCTATGCTGTCTTCATAAGAGCCCCATGGTTTTCAACCCACTTTGCTGAAAGTTTCAAGGTTAGAAGAGAACTGACATTCAAAGGCAGGCAACCTGATGCCAACCTGCCCCACAAGCACCTACCATCTTAAATTAATGGGATTAGCAATCATTTGTTGGGATATGAGCAAGCACCATCCCGTGAACCACTGCCGCTGCCACTGTAACTTGGCACAGGCACTTTTTGGAAAAGCATCTGTCAGTGTCTACTAGAGCTGAATGTCTCTACACAGCTTCTGACCCAGCAATTCCACAGAAATGCGTATATACGTGCACCAAAAGACAGGTGCAAGACTATTCAGAGCAACATTATTCTTATTAGTCAATATTGGGAACAACCCAAATGTCTATTAACAAGTGAGTGGATAAATACATTGCAGTAAAATCACACTAAAGAGCCCTAACCGGTTTGGCTCAGTGGATAGAGCGTCGGCCTGCGGACTGAAGGGTCCCAGGTTCCATTCCCGTTAAGGACATGTACCTTGGTTTCAGGCACATCCCCAGTAGGGGGTGTGCAGGAGGCAGCTGATCGATGTTTCTAATTCCCTCTCCCTTCTTCTCTGTAAAAGAAATCAATAAAATATATATTTAAAAAATCACACTACAGAATATTAATACAGCAATGAGAGTGAACACTATACAACCAAATGCAACCATATGGATGAATCTCACTGACAACATGTTG